GCTCAATCTCGGATTTCTCCTCCTCCTCTTGGGCAATATCCATTCCCAACTCAGATACTTCCTTATCTTCAGGCATAGAAGACGGTCTCTCCCAGCTAACATCGCCAGTCAGACTATTATAGTAGTAAACCTGTTGAGATGTTGGATCGATCGATTCTATCCATCCGTTGGGTAGTGGTTTCGTATCCTCCACATTATCGACTCCGTGTGCAGAAACTTCTGGTTCAATATCATTGTTGTGAACAGCAGTACTATCTACATCAGATTTTTGGTTTGCTTCAACGGCTTCCACCTCTTCCTTGTCATCATTGTCAGTAATAACTTTGCTATTGTCTTGTTCTACGGTCGGGCGCTCCCAGCTAACAGTGTTTGATTCGGAATGATAGAAATAACTCTGTCCGCTGGAAGGGTCGATTGCTTCGATCCATCCATCTGGTAGGCCGTCGACGTCGCTATTCTCTCCAGACACAATACCACCGTCTTCACCTGGTTCGACTTGACTCTCGGGACCATCATCTCTGAGACTAATGCTGGACGACGCTTCAACTTGGACAGGAGTTTCGGGCTCTGTCTGCAATTCATCTTCCTGTGGATCTTTATCATCGATATTAGAAATTTCATTGCTCGTCGGTCGTTCCCATGATGTTATTCCGGATATGGTATTGTGATAATAGGTTTGCCCGCTGGAAGGATCAATAGCTTCGATCCAATGCTCTGGTAGAGGATGAAGTGCATCATAACTCTTCGAATCCGAAGGAGTGATGAGCTCTTCGTGTTCACTGTCTTTTTGTGTGTCATTCATAGTGTTCATAACTAGTTCAGGTTGTGCATCGTCAATCGGAATATTAGCACTTTCCTTTGCCAGACCTTCTCCATCCGTTGGTCTATCCCATCTTGTTTCTTCCGTCACCGTGTTGTAAAAGTAGATGTTCCCACTGTTCGGGTCTTCAACCTCTGTCCAATTTTCGGGTAGAGTGGGATCTTTCGTCTCGGCCTCTATAGCAGCCTCTGGTTTGGTTTGTGCTTCTACGGCCCCTTCGGTTACAGTTTCGGCTTCTTCCTGTACTTCAGTCGGCTCTGCTTCAATCTCTCGTTGCCGACCGACCTGGTCTTCGCTCGTTTCTGTTTTGACCGGGTGGTGCATCTCCGGCGGTCGATCCCAGCTACTTTCACCCGTGATTTCGTTGTAATAGAACGGCTGGCCGGTGGAAGGATCTTTCGTTTCGACCCAATCTCCCTCGTTATTGATGATGGTTTCGTTGTTTAATATTGTTGTTTCATCAACGATTGCTGCAGTATCTATCCGTTCTGACTCAATTGAAATTTCGTTTGTCACCTCAGCAGTGTCGGTGTACTCCGGATCTACCGTAGTTGCATCATTTGTGACTTCGTATGTCGTGGAATTTTCGTCCTTGATTTTCAATTCAACCTCTAGCGAATTTGAAGGACGTTCCCAACTCGTCTCCATGGTTGAAGTATTGTAATAGTATTCTTTACCACTCGACGAATCCAATTTCGACATCCAATTTTCTGGGAGCTCACTGTGCTCCTGATTCGATATACTTTGTTCACTCGATTGAACCAAAGATTCTAAAACCGGAGTATCATCTTCTGTCTTACTTCCAACTGTAACAGCAACTTCTTCGGAATTAGCTCCTTCACTGTCAACTTGGAATTCTAAATTTAAAGCATCCAGAGTGTCATCAATAGATGGAACTTCCTCAAGTGCAACGGCAGAATCTACTCCAGATGTTTCAAAAGTATCCTGACCATCACCAAGATTATGATTGTCTACTGTGGCAGAAGACTGTATAGGTCTTTCCCATGCAGTCTCTCCCGTCATAGAATTAAAATAATAGATCTTCTGGGTGGTTGGATCGGTGGCTTCTGACCATCCCTCTGGAAGGCCGTTGTTATTGCCCATTCCTTCCGCCGGCTCCTCTGTCGCATTCATTGTTGCTGTGGTATATTCCGGGGGATTTTCGTTAGCATTGAAATCCGCAGCAGGAGTACTCAGAGCCTTATCAACCGCCGGAAATTCAGCATTAGTTTCAGCTCCTGCTGCTTCTGCTGATTTTTCCAAAGTCTCTTGACCATCACCAAGAGTATTTTCATCTACAGTGGTAGAAGATTGTGTAGGTCTTTCCCATGCAGTCTCTCCCGTCATAGAATTATAATAATAGATCTTTTGGGTAGCTGGATCGGTGGCTTCGGACCATCCCTCGGGCAACTTGTTGTCAATGTTCCCATGCGCAGTCGGATCTCTCTCGTCCGTAGGTGGAACAACCTCCGGCCCTGCATCGTCCGGAATAGTTTCGCTGGTTTCCACTTCCACCTCGGGTTCTTCTTTTGCTGTTGTCGGCGCTTCTTCTGTTACATCGGAACCTCCAGTAGAAGTCTCTGGAACAGCCGATACTGCATTTGTCGTCGCAGCTTCTGTTTCCTTTCGCTTTGCGGAATGATCCATGGGTGGTATGGACAGCGATGCAGTGGTATCGACAGTGTCGTTCGAAATGGTTTTTGCGTCTCCCATGCTGCTGATAGGGAGGGTCTTAGCGGCTGCAGTAGCAGGTGGCCTTCCTGTGGTGGTTCCCATCGTTGGCGAGACGATACCACTCTTTTTGTTCGCTGAGGGAGAGGGTAAGTTCCGCGTTGGTGTTTGATTTGAATCGTTGGCACGGGGATTCCTCACGGGAGTCCGCGACCTTGATTTGCGGGGAGTCGGGAGCTTGAACCTAGATCGGGTGGTTCTTCCCGAAGTCAAAGAAGAGCTGAGCGGCGGAGGTCCCCGGAGCTTGCGACGGATGTTTGGCGGAGATGCCGCTGCGACCGGCACGATCTTCGTTTTGCTTGGTGCTTTCTTGCTTGCCGATGAGGATGCAACTTCCGGGGCAGATTGTTCGATCGTTTTCTTTGCCTGGTTGCTGCCAATGGAAGGGCTGGGAGATGCCGGTGGTGTGATTCGATGCAAGGATTGGGCTGCTGCGGCGCCGGTGACAGTGCCTTCGACACTCTTGCTATTACTCATCACATTGCTACAGCCACTAATGGTTTGCAATGCATTGTCGTTGCTGGTCGACTTTGCAGTATTCGAAACAGATCTCGAAGCGCTTTCAGTTGGAACGTCGACGGGCGTCGGGGGCGGTTGAGAAAACAACGCCTCGCGTGGAGGAGGCGTAGGCGTCTGGGGAGGGGGATGCGCAAAGACAGCAACGGCCTTCGGAGGGGCCACCGGAGTGGGAGGCTTGCTCGGGGGGGGTTGCGAAAACAATGCCGGGCGATCGGGTGTGGGAGGTGTTCTTGCCGCGGATGCGTGGGGAAGCACCGGAGTGGAAGGTTTGCTCGGCGGCGGCTTGGAAAACAATGTCTCCGGTGGGGGAGGATTGGGTGTAGCGGGGGCACTCGCCCCAAACGCGGGAGGCGGGTGCGAGGCGGTGCCAGGGGCAACACTCGCCAAAGGAAACACCGGGGGACCCTGGCTGCTCCGGCTGCTCGATCCCGGAGGAGTTTGTGCAAATACCGGCGCTGGCGTGCGGCTGCTGCTGCTGTTTGGCGTCGGAGGGGCCCGCGCAAAGACATTCGGCGTTGGCGTTTGGGGAGCGGGAGGAGGAAACGCCGGTGCCGTAGAAGCTGCCGTTCGGTTTGGTGTGGGCGGTTTCGCAAAGAGATCCTTCGCGGCATTTGTGGGAGGAAGAGGAGGTGTCGCTGGCCGTGGAGAGGGGGCCCTCTGGGCCGGGGCTGTTGCCCCGAGGGGAGGCCGAAATCCTCCTGCTGGAGATGGCGGCGGCTTGAATGTTCCCCCAGCTCCCGCAGCATCTACTGGTGGCGTGGGAGGCCGAGCGAAGACATCGCCAGCTGTTTCCGAGGAAGGGGGAGCATCCATATCCACTTCCGTCATGTCTTCGTCCTCCTCCTCGTCCAGCATCGACGCGAACTGTTCAATCGGTGCTGGAGCAGGTGGCGGAGCAAACAGTTGAGGCTTTGGTGGTGGTGGTGGTTGTTGTTGCTGTTCCGACGGTGGAGGCGGCGGCGCAAAAGCAGAGCCAACGTTTTGCAGCGGCCTCGCAGCGCCGAAGAGCATGGAGGCCGCAGAAGTTACCATGTTCACGGTCATGCCCAGGCCTCCTCCGTCGTCGTCGTCGCTATCATTGTCAAAGTTCTCGCTTTCATCGAAGCTGCGGGCGGGTTCGTTTTGCAATGGAGGAGGCGGGCGGTGGAATCCTCCTTGCTGGTTGTTGGTAGGCGGCTGGAAACCAGGCTGGAAACCAGGCTGGGGCGGCGGAGGGGGTGGTCCTCCGTCGGTTCCAAATTGTGACCACATGAGAGTGCGTCTTCGTGGGTGTATGTGTATTTGAGTTCACTGGACGATCTTTCCGCTACTGCTTCTGCTTTCTGTGGTCTATCCAACAACTCCAGCACTGTAGTAAGCAACGCATTTACTGGTACTGCTAGCAAGTTGCACGGCCCTCTTGCTGTTGTCCGTCTCTCTTGTCGTACAGAGTCTTTTTCAAAAGTGAGGACACACACCACAATAAAAAACTAGGGTCTCTCCAAATTTCAAAATGACGGGATGCGGTTCTTGAAATCTGGTATCTGGTTCGATTACCTGTACTCCTCCCATAGTACTATGGTACGTACATTGTACGGTAGAGACGTACGGTACGTAGTGCCTTGTTGTGTACAGTAGGGATTGTTGTGTACAGTAGGGATCTAACGGAACGCAACGACCGGAACGCAACAAAACGTAGCGTAACACAACGTAAAGTTAGCTACCGTCTACTGTAGTTACTACAGACCGGAACTAACGTACGAACAAGGACTTTCTTAGTACTTCGAAAGTCAAAAAATGAGTGTTTACGTACGGTACTTGTACTCGTAGGGACGGGACCACCACCGCCTGCATCCACGCACAAAAAAGGATTCCCCAATGAGAACTTTGCAGCTACAGAAGCTTACGCACGTTGCCATCATTGAGAAACCTCATTTATCCTAAGGTAGTTTCTGCACAAATCAATTTATCTCTTCTTTTCTTCATGAAAGATGAGAAACTATTGCTCCAAGTTTGCATTCTGTCAATACTGCTCTCTTTTTCACCCAGACTCTAATTGTGCCAACAGTTGACTTCGGTGTTTGCTTCTTCCTTAACAGTACAATTACTGGTGGTAGTACTAGCTAGTACTGATGCAAGAAAAAAAATAACAAGTAATTCAAATTTAAGTGATGTCACAACATTACTAAAAAGAGGAGTGGTGTTTTTGGTCATGATCTTCTCTACTTGGTAATGTTTGGTATGAAAATACCACTGGATTCAATTTGCCACACCTGGTGAATCTCTGCATAGTATTCATTTGCTGGACACACAACATAACTTGATGCTTCCTTTGCTTGTGAGAAAAACTGACATGTAATGCACCACCACGGCCGACATTATATAGCACCATATCGTGCCGTAGTTTCTTGGCATTTTGCCTGCCATCGCATCGCATCCTCCGCACAACACAACCGCATAGCTTGTAGTGCATCACAAGTACCAACGTTTTCGCTTTCTCTTTCTGTTTTGTTGTGTTGCAGCACCTAATTTTCTCAGCCGCGGGCCAACACCTCACAGCTCGGCCCCCATCCGTTCGTCTGTCCACCATTTGGGTAGGTCTTCTCGCTTGGAGTAAGACTTGGGGAACTGCGGCAGATACTCACTAAGTTTCTGAAGGAAAATCGTCGACACCGCCCCCGGATTGGCATCGATGTCCTGTCCCATGACGGCGTACTGGCCGAATATGGCTCCCCTTCCGCCGGTCGTGTCGCCGGTGAAGCGGTCCACAACGTATCCTACCGACTGGTACTTGATCTTGCCCTCGCGATTGAAGATTACCGACCGGCACTCGGGCGGTCCGATGTACGGGGCGTTGGTGGGCTGGATCATCTTCCCGGTGCCTGGCATCGGGAATGGACCGGCAAAGGTTCCCCTCGGCCGCACGAAGTACCACACCCGGTTGGGCTCGATGGGATCGTCGGCCGTAAACCCAAAGGCGTTCTGCTGCAGGTCGGGAAAGGCGGTTCTCAGGTCCTCGTTGGCCGTCAGCGTGGCCACCAGATCTTTCTTGACGAGAGGGCCGATGACGGGGCCTCGAAAGACAAACTCCTCGTCGGACCACCAATCTGGCGAAGGATTTTCCACGTAGTCCCTGGCCATGGCGACCAGCTCTTCTGGCGAGAAGGGTGTTGCCTTTGCTCGTGTTGTTTGTTCTCCTTCGGATGCCGCGGCCGAAAGCGACGACGAAGATCTAGAAGAAGCACCATTCGCTATGGCCTTCGGCGACGATTCGATCGACCGTAAAAACAAAGCGGGGGAAGGAGACAAAGCCGAAGGTATCACTGAAGGGCCAAAGCCGGATGTCGACGTAAAAGACAAAGTTACCAATCCTAGAAATAGCGGCAGCGCCGAATGCAGCAAAGAAAACCCTTTCGTGGATGTTGATAATGATGTTCGCGGCCGAATCCGCCGACAGCGGCGGCTTTGTTTATCCTTCGTGCTTGTGCGACGCATAATGGTGGATGGTAACAGATGGATTCGTCTTCGAAATGAAATCCAGCGACGTTGCGTTTGTGTTGTTTGTATTCAACTAGTAATTGCTTGATCCAGTTTTTACTTTGGTACCGTAGCGTACCGTTCAGCTGAGTTCGAATTCGAAGAAAAGAAGTTCATAGTACAATATTTTGTGAGTCTTTCCAAGGATGTGCCTTGATAGCTCAGTTGGGAGAGCGTCAGACTGAAGATCTGAAGGTCCTGTGTTCGATTCACAGTCAAGGCATTATTTTTCACAAACAGGGAGATTCCACCCAAACTTTTTAATACTAATGCTGCTATTGGGTGATTCCCGCAAACATATTAATATGTAAAAATGAGACCGGCCGGCTCGAAAAAATATGTAAATTACATAGATTTTGGTTGTCGTGGGCCCACSACAACCAGAATCTGTGTAATKTACATATTTTTTGTTTGGAATCCTTGACTCAACACTTCCAGTCTCGGGAGGAGAGGTTTAGTCAAAATCCCAAAGTTCCCCCCACTTTGGAATTTTGTCAAATTGCATGCAATTTATACAGGATTCCAAGTTCTGAAAATAGGGGGAAAATATGTAAGTTGAGCTGGCAGTCTGTGTCTTCTGTACCACTGAAACGTATTCCCAAAAACATATCACGTAATATGTTTGCGGGAATCACCCATTGCTAGTAGTTCGAATTACTTGTTGGCACCATTTCTACTGTTGTACTACTATCTCATAGAAGACAAAACGGAAATACTTCAAGATTTGATACCCTCTTGACCGTACTAATAGTTTTGCTTCATAATTTTACTCTACTGCTCCCCTCTTATAGTACTACAAGGAGGAAAGGGTGGCAGTGGTGCTGGTGGTGGTCTGCTGTTGTACTACTAACAACTAGTATGTTGGACACCAGAAACAAATCTACATCAGGTCTTTTACTATGTATATTACAGCAATGAAGAGAATCTTCCATTCCCTTACCAAAAGAACTACCTCACCTTGCCGCATCCCTGAAATCCTGACGGAACAAGACACCCTTGTCATCATCTGCAAACTCCATAAAGGGTAATGGTGKGTACCATTACTAGAGACATGGAAGAAGAAGTGTGACCCAAATAACAACAAGATGCTAGCCCCACTTATTTTTTACATGGATGAGATTACAATTGAGCAGACACTGGAGCTGCAATGATAATAGAAAATGCTGTAGTTCCTCAGAATCCAATAGAGTTGTTTGTCATCTAAAAAGATTTGTCCAAAATGGAGCAAGAAGGAAATCATAAAGAGCAACTAGTATGGAAGAGATGAGATTATTTATCTAAAGAAAAATGTTAGAAGAGGATTACCACAATAACATTCATTTCATTGGATACTTTGTGTGCATGATTTTTAGTTATCTTGTCATTATGAACAAGAAAAAAAAATGATGACAAAAAAATGGTGGCCCCAAGAATGGGTGAGAAACTCATGCTGAGAAACTTGTGGTGTGAGAACATGTTCCACAGACAAGTGCCATGGGTTCTTTGTTAAAGTAGGGTAAAGTGTGTATGCAATTTTAGTTTTACTATGCAAACAGGAGGAAACATTTAACAGTAATATTGGTTAGTGTGACAAGAGGTGGAAGAGTCATCATCCACCTTTCAGTCAATGCCAATGATGAAATGCAGAGAACAGAGAACACAGAAGCCCATGGCATAATGCTTTATTTCAAAAGGTCTAGTAGGCAAAGAGAGATGCTGGTGGTGGGGGGCAGTGCACAAGTGATCTAGCTTAACTTAGCATTTCATCAATCTCACTTCCTTAGGAATAGTGTAAAGTTTTCAATATTTTCATTCTAGTAGTAATATTTGCAAAAGAGATTCTACTATAGAACCAACAAGGGCAACAGCTTGTTTCATTCCTCCATAACAATTCAAGTTCTTTGGAATCAACACATTGCCCTTTTTCATCCACACTCATCCTTACTAGTGGCTAGTAGTACTACTAGTACTTACTGGTGAAGAGGAAATGATTGGATTGAATGTAAAAGCAGCAACAAAATCCGTTGTAACCTCAAGGTTGTGGTACTCTAATAGTATGAATCACAGTACAAAAAATCAAATGAATACTTGTTCATTTATTTTGATTTTGTATCTGGTCCAAGGAAATGAGCCAACTGCTGTGTGGAGAATTGTTAAACAGAAGGAAATCACTACTCTGAGTATCTGAAGTAATCCCACCACTGCAGCTAAGAAATCCCCATGTTTCCATCCAGTGTAATGAACAGAACTGGTGAAAGAATCATACCATGGCTAAATATTGTTGGAGGAGGAGAAGAAGAAGAAATTCCAAGTTATTCTGAATTGCTCTCAATTAATCGTACTTTGTTCCATGATTACTACGTATGATGTAGGCAGCATCATTGCTTGCAGAGGGTACTAAATAGTGGTGGTTCAAGAAGGAGATTATTCCTTTTTTAAAAAATAGTAATATTTGCTCAGCAGGTTCTTGAGGTTATTGTGTTTGATGATTTGTTACAACAGATCAATATAAAGATACAGAAATTTCAGATCAAGAGAGGAGGATATGAACTAGTACTACTAAAAGCAAAGAAATTCAGAAGATCAAATGGTTTTTTATTTCACATGAAGGCTTGCAGAATATTACAAACCAAGAATGAAATTGACTGAATAGTTGCCCCTGACATTACAACTGAGGAAGAGAGAATGAGAATTTTTGCAGTAATACTGGACCTGTTTTAAGGAGAATTTGAGAAGAAACAAAGACTTGGACTAGTATTAAAGTGTGATGCCAATGAGAGAAAGACCAAAGAGGAAGATCAGCAGATGATTTGACTAACTTTAGTAGTCAATAAGGAGTACTACTTGATTTTTGAGTCCTAGCTATTTGTTTTAACAAAAGTATCATTTACTTTGACACAAGAAGAGTAACAGAATGATCTGAATGCAACAGAAAGGGTAAAGAGGATCATGATTGATAAATAGAAACAAAATTAATTCTCCGCTTCTAGTGAAAAGAATGCTTCATCTGATAAACGAGAAAAGAAGGAAGAAAGAAGATATAATGACTTTGTGGAAAATGTTGTGAATGCTAGATTAAGATTAAAGATAATTCATCTTAGTACTACTACTAGTGGAAGAGGTAGTATTAGGACGCCACTATAAAATATGACGCCTGGAAGGATCTGTGTATGACTTCGCTAGAATAGTTTTAGAACGCCCAAAATATGAGGTGACCCCATGGGATGCCATGGCTATGTAGTCTTTGGTTTCGGAGATCTAAAGGTGCAGTGATGACACACATCAAGGGCGCTAGCTGTGATTTTCAAAAGTGGTTTTATATTAGTTTCATATTATGGGCGTGTGCATAAGCGTGTGCGATGGTTGTTCGAAGAGTGGGGCGAGCCAATTTGTGTTGCTGCGCCACATCCATTCTATTTACTGTTGGTATTAGGCGACACACAACAAGTGGGCATTGTGTGGCGCGATACAGTCTGTTCTTTTGGCTTCCTGGTCTGTGTCGTCAGTCAAGAACACACTACAAAGGAAGATTTGGTCCATTCTGTACATCTGTAAAAACCAGCTTCCGTTGTCTTACGAAAGAAGAGAGTCAAGGCTATCGGAAACATCCGCAAGAGGGTCAGATGTGGCGGCAGGGGCATCACCTCCGTTGAGGTCGTCACCAAGTCCATCCAACGAATCACCGAGTCCGAGAACGATGTCTCGTGCAGCGCTCTCCCGTTGCTTTCGTTCTTCTTCCATCTGGGTGTGGTACTTCTTTGCGGAGTCTTCAGCCATCTCAAATACCTTGGCGGAGTCCTTCAGCATGTCACCGGGGTTAGGTTCAAGTGTCTTGGTGGAAAGAGCGATGCGTCCGTTGACCTTGTCGTGATCGATGATCATACACTTGACAGCCATGCCCGGTTGAAGGACTTGTTCCAAATCTTCGATACGGTCGTACGAAATCTGAGAAATGTGCAAAAGACCGGACATACCACCGACCTCAATGAAAGCACCGTAAGGCTTGAGCGCCTGAACAACACCCTCAACCAAATCTCCACGGGAAAGATCGGCCATTTGAGTTTCGACAACGGCCTTTCTGTTGGAGACAACCAATTTGTTGTTTTCTTGGTTGACTTCCAAGAATTTGAGGGGAAGCTTTTGTCCGATCAAATCCTCGGTGGCCATCTTTCCAGCCAAGTGGGATCCGGGAAGGAAGGCACGGAGTCCTTCGACCAAGCAGATAGCTCCTCCACGGTTGACGCTGACAACCTCGGCTTCGAGGATGGCATCTTCGGCTTGCATCTTCAAGATGGTTTCCCATGCCGATCGGTATTGGATTCTTCGGATGGAGACCAAGAGCTGTCCGTTCTCGTCTTCATCGGAAATGATTTGGAAGTCAAGTTCTTCGTTCAGATTGACCAAGTCGTTGACGGTGGATCCAACCGGCTGGATGAGAGCGGCTTCGGCTTCTGGTAAAAAGGCAGAAGCTTTGGCACCAATATCAACAATGACCCCCTTTGGCTCGTATTGAATGCACTGTCCCTTAACGATGGAGTTTCGTTCGAAGGAATAAGAAGTTTCGGCAACGGCGGCTTCGAATGCATCGTAGTCAAACGAGAGACTGTCCATGTCTTCTTCTTCAACGCTTCGCTTGAATCCCTTGTAGTTCTTCTTCAAGCGGTCGAAACGGGTAGGCTGAGCAACAGCTTTCGTTTCTTCCGTAGGGGCTTCAAGCGTAGCAGTGTTCAAAGCGGTTCTGATGAATGTGTTTCATTTGCATCCGAGTTTCCGTAACATGATTGTTGCGTGACCAAGCATTACGTGTATAAACGATTTTCCATTCGTTGATAAGTTGGAGCGGGTAGTCGTATTTGTAAATCAGACCATAAGGACCGCCATGGTCAAACAGGAACCAAAGAGGAAAGGCATTACGTAAGGTGATGGGTAAAGAAGAAACAACAGGTGAGATGAGAATCGAATTTTCTGGTATATTTTCTACGGGGGACTGACGTATTTGAACGAAACATGGACAGACGGGGCGTGCAACTACGTAGTAAAATTCGTCGTAGTCGTCGCCGATGATGTGCGTTTTCCAGTCATCATCGTACCTGGTGTTGGGTCCAGAAGCAGGCGAGAACGCAGTTGCGCTAGCCGCGAATAGTGTGAATGCTGCTGCCGAGTATTTCATTGTTGTGTTTGGTATTTTTCTAAAGTTTGCAATGTAATCTAATAGAAGCTACAACAATGGTGATACGATTTCGTTGTTGGCAACACGATGGTCGTTTGATGTGTGCTTGTTCGATGAGTTCCCACTTGAGCAGCAGACTTGGAAAATCAGAACTGAAATTGATTGATGAGAAGACGCCCGTCCGATGATGAGTCAACGTGTGCGTGAAAATATGTGTGCATGTGGACCAATTATTTTTCACCATTTTTGCGCGTTTTCGCGCGTTAAGCTTACAACCGTACAAAATTACGTATTTCAATTTTTCCGGTTGTGGGCCAGACACTCACGTCACATAAATCAAATTCGAGGGTTCATCAACCCATCAAGACCGAGCGCTGAGGCAGAAAATCGCGTCTCCACGTTGAAGGCGAGGAATGCGTTCATCCTCAACGACAACATCATCTAAATAATGCAGATCAAACATCCGAACTTCATCTTTCGAAGTCGTCACGGGAGTCGAAATTAGGTACGGTACCTACGAACTGTTCTAGGAGCAACATCCTTTTCTATTTCGAGGGAAGGAACGGGAGAGAACCCAATACATAATTGCAGCAACAAAGCAGCAGCTACTATAAAAGCCAGTCAGACCGACGCGAATCAGAAGTACGAAGGGAAGGAATCGACGTATATAACATGAAATTCCAAATAGCAGATATTGCCCTGATTCTTTCAATAGCATGCCTCTCTTCGGCGGCGGCCTTTTCTCCTTCGTCCCTTGCGCCTCGGCAGTCAGCTGGAGCCTCGTTGACGAATAGAATATCCAAAACGACAACCAGCAGCAACACTAAATTATTTTCGCAGTGGGACGAAGAAGAGGAAACTTCCGTGAAGCGGTCTTCCTTTGAGGAGGCCGCGAAGGCAGCTACTGATGAAGACGCCGCGAAAGAACTCGAAGAGATGGGAGATTTTGATGCCACTTCCACTGTGAGTTGTTAGTTATATTTTTTTGGGATTGATCGGTCAAGTGCGACTCTTTTCGTTAAGGAACGCAGTAGAAAACATCGATCGTCTGCCGCCACCGACATGAAAAATTGTCTCTTCTATGGTTATGATTACTAACCCGTAGTTTTTGTACAAATTTGTTTTGTTTGCATCGTGTGCTGATTGACAATCTTGCTTCTTCATATGTGTCGGGAAAAAATAAATGGTATTCGATCGCATCCCATTGCTACGAACCCAACAATCATCACTGAATTGCATTCACTCTGGAAAACCGAAACAACAATGCGATGCAGTACAACTCGGACGACATTGGTCGATACCGTGATGCGATCAAGAAACGAGCGGAATCCATTGGACTAGAGAAGAGATCAGCTGAAGAAATTGCGGCGGATCAAGCAGCGGCTATGCAAAAAGCAATCGAACAGGGCGAGGGCCTTGTAGGAGCAGCCGCACGATCAAACCCCGACCAGCTCTCTGATATGCTTGATGAATCCCAAGTGCAGCGACTTGACTTGTCGAAAATTTCAAACGATGCACCAAGGGGTCCAGATGAGGATGTTCCTGCTATAATGTATGATCCTACCAACGACATGACACAGGAAGAAATGGAAGAAGCCGACCCTATCGGATTCAAACCCATCAATGAGCAAGTCGCATGGGTCCTTGAGAAATCCGAGTTCCCCTCGCCTCTTGCTGTATTGGGCGAAACTATTGTTACAGTTGTGACCGTCGTTGTGACAGCGGTGATTTTCACACAATGGGACGAATTGTGTCGGGAAGCGGCCTTCAACTTTAATTTTGTGCCCCGGCCGGAAGAGGTCCAAAAGGCCTTGGAGGGGATGCTAGCTCCAGGAGATACTATCCTCGGAATGGGAGCGAACTCTATGTCGGGACAAGAAATGCTACAAATGCTACAGGATGGAACGAAGGAAACTATCAAGGCCGTACAAGATGGATCGATCAAGGACATTCTAGCCGGTGATGTGCCTGCTGAACTGTAGTAATGCAACTTTTGCAACTCGACGAGTTCAGAAACTGAGCCGTTCCTACCATGTTGCCGACGAAAACACACAAGCATCCAAAGAAATTCGATAGCAGAAATAGAACTTTGCAACTCACAAATCAATGATGACCCGCGAAATAACTTAGTGACGACGATGGCAACAGCAGCGAAAAAGCGACCACCCTGGCAGACGATGTACGTCTGATTCCAACTGCTGGTGAAGCGGTTCATGCATACTCGTACGACAACAGAAACTTTTTTAAAACTCTTAGTTATCATGAGACGCTATTGCTTATATATATCAAGACTTTGACCTCTGGTGAATTGCTTCATTAGCAACCCAAGAATTTCTCAACTCTATCATTCCTTCGAAATGTAATAGCACATAGTATTTGAGAAGCAACTATGTTGAGCTTATTGTCAAATGAATCTCTTCGCGAGGTACTAGAAAGTCAAAATCTTATTTAACCTGGTGAGGAACATGAGGACCAAGGTAGTACACATCAGTCACAAATAGTAGGGGCAGTACCCCAGCTAGACCTGGTGTAGTTGAAAAGTAGTTCAATTCATGATAATGAGATCAGTTACTCATAGCTACACATCATGGAGCCACATGCCAGGAAGTAAAATCCTCTCTGTTGACCTAGCCAAAATCACCTTCTTTGATAACAAGGCACTTGTTGTACCTATGGTTTTCCTTGCTTCAATTTGCATGAACTGTCACATCATGATGATGCACCATCCTGTCTTGGAATCATAAGCAGAGGATTGATTGAAAAGAAAATACATCAAATTGAATGTGTATGTACTATGAGTTATAGCAGTGGTGATGGTGGATGGTGGTAGCCCACACTTCCTCATAAACAAAAACATGACAGCAATTGCTACTGGTAACATCAGCTGCCACCAGCAAATGCACTAGTAGTAGTTTCTCATTGGTAGTACATGGTACTACTAGTAGTAATGAATACATAGTACTTGACTACTAGTAGTACTTCTACTAGTAGTCTTGTCAAAAACTATACTTCTATATCACTTTTAACCCTGTAAATTAGAAGGAGAGACAATTTCTTTCCATCCAAGAGTCACTTGCAACCTTGATAATTAAGGAAGGATCTCCTCAAATGTAACAAGTTGATACAGGAAAAATTCAAGCTACTAGTTCTAGCTTGCAMTAGTACTAGTACTAGTCCTTTGCATATTACATGATTAAACTACTACAAGTAATAATACTGCTGCTAGTCCTACTTTTGCTGATGATTACAGTGCTGTACCACTGGTGGTAGTACTAGTGCTGTTATGATTTGGATTATATGAGCAAGTGACCAAGAAGAGTAATAGCTAGTCGTCTGTTGTCTTCCATAAGAAAGAATTGATGCCCTGCTGGTGGTGGAGTACCAGTACTACTATTGGTGCTGGATTCTTGTCATTTCCAGGCAAAAAGAACAGAAAATAAGAAGGTAGTATGTCTCAGAGATCATTTTGGGGATCTTGGCCATTACTAATACAAACATTCATGTTTGCCTTACTTAGAGGGAGGAGTAGCAGTATTGCTGATAGTGGGGCAGTAGTAGATACAAGAACACATTTGTGATACCAATAGTAGTACTAGTAGAATACAGAAAGAATGAAGGAATAGGCAATTTCATAATAAATTACTTTCAATTTTGGTGGGGTGTACAATTATCCATTAGTTCATAGTAGAAAGTTAAATATGGGGCACACCAGTAACTGAAGCTTGACAGCCAAGTTACTCCTGTATGTCCATCTTATGCATACTAAGCCTGGATCAAGTTTGTGTGATGTAAACCTTGTAGAACCCTCTTGCAACATTGTTCATTTGTATCAGAATAAAATAGTACCTTCAATTCAATCTTTATGATTTGTCATGTGCTTTGTTTGGACGATTATTTATTCTCTGTGGCCTAATAGTTTTTGACCTACTAACCCCAGCAGCACCTGTCTTGGAGAAGAGCAGAACTTATGCTCTCTAAACAAAATAACACCTTACTACTGTGTCCACCATTTATTAGCCTTCAAGAAGTCACCTGACAACTATGCTCCTAATTTTGTTGCAGTCCGGTGAGTTCAAGTAACACTTCACTGTTACAAGCAATAGAAATATCTCCTGAAAACCTTTGTCTTTCAGCAAAAAGACAAGAAACCAGAATAAAGAAATTAGAATTATGTCATTGTCGTGCTGGGAGGTCAAAAATAAATTTGGTTTGTTGTCACAAACACCAAATAGTAGTAGTACTAGTAGCAGATCATTTGACACAAGAAGAAGAACAACTTTTAATTGTGACTATGGCTTTTATGGCTGTCATTTTGCTATTTGCTTCAAACATTCAATATTGCTAGTTTATTGGTGGGTTAATGTATCCCTGTCTTGTGGTACCAGAGGTATGTTCTAGGGGGGGTGCAGTAGTAGTACTAGTACAACAAGTATGGGCTTGTGTATTTGACTCAGTGCACTGTTTCTTGCTACTCCGGAGGAGACAAAAGAAGAAATCATGACTTGAAATACTTCTAGACTCCTATCCATTGAGTTCATTTACCTACTGTTTCTAGCCCACAATGAATTGTGTCATAGGATGAGTCAGCCTTTTGCAATTAACCCAATCCAAAACAACAGAACAAGTTGGCCAACCTCTATGTTAATTCAATGGGATTCATCATGCACGCACCTCTAGGCAAGACTACTACTACTACTACTACTACTACTACTACTACTACTACTACTACTACTACTACTACTACTACTACTACTACTACTACTACTACTACTACTACNACTACTACTACTACTACTACTACTACTACTACTACTACTACTACTACTACTACTACTACTACTACTACTACTACTACTACTACTACTACTACTACTGCTCCATTCTTGCTACATGTGCTTTAATTTTTTCCATAGCTGATAGTGATGACAAATAATGATTCTATGCCTGGTGGTGTTGCTCCTCTCCTTTGCTGGCAACCAGGGGTACAAGAAGGCCATTTACAACCTGAAATAGGGGAGACAGTGGTGATGTCAAGTGCTATCATAAGCCATTCATAGTATGAAGAAGTATCAGGAGAATGCTTTAATGAAGAATTTGATTACAAATTTCTGACAACCATCATAGTCCTGCTGCTAATAGCAACCAGCAATAATTGAACAAAAATCAATGCCAACAAATGAAGGCAAATGAAGTGCTGGTACTAATTCATTCTCTTTCTCCTTAATGGTGGTAATCTACAACAAGGAGCACCATGTTTAGGACCATCATCAGTAGAGGAGGAGTGATTTCACCATCCAACTGAAGAAGAAGAAAATGTACTCTGATCCTGAAAGTAAACATAGTATATCATGGCTGGAAGAAAAGGGAAAGACCCTCCTGTTGTTCAACTCATGATTGTTTACAGAAGTTGTCATTTTTTGGTGATTTCAATGATACTAGAAATGTTCAGAAAAAGGGCGGTAGCTAGTGACGGAATATTTTTTCAAATCATGATGAAATTGAAATGATTCTACCAACCAGCAGTAAACTGGTACTACTACTGCTAGTAGTACCACAACAAGAAGGTTATGGTGGTGCTAATATTACTACTAAGATTCTTGTTGTAACTAGAAATTGAAATAAACTTAGGTATTTGGTCTTCCCTCAGCATCATGCAGCAAAGAACATGGTGAGTACTGCTAGTACTACTACTATTACTATGGTCACAAACTGCTACTACCACCAACAAGAATACTACTAGTAGTATTGGCACTAGTACTACTAGTAGTAGTAGGAATAGGAGTCATTGTACTACTTTCTATGGAGTAGGATGGCCTAGTACTGTTGCTAGAACTACTAGAATATGACTAGTAGTACTAGTAGGATGAGGACAAGTCCTCCCCTATTTTGTTCACCACAGTCTGCTGGTGGTGCCCAGCAGCATCATCACAACAACATGACTACGACTAGTAGTAGCAGTACTACTCCTCCTACTAGTACTAATACTGCTCCATAGAACTTGATGATACAAACTGTTTCATAATGATACTGGAGATCCAAGCCTTGTAACAAATGTAATGCACTCATCCATGCAATTCGATGTTTCTTGATTTGTGTTACAATCTTCGAAAAAGTTTGAAGAGTATGAAAAAGGGATGGCATAAAAAAGATTCGTAGTCAGACGCCTTACCGTTGGGCCAAAGGGTCACAAGAAACCCTCCCGGGAATCGAACCCGGAATCTTCTGATGTTCTACACTCCGACAATTGAAAATATGCTTAATAAACATGTGTTTGATATCATCCGTTTACATTCTACCGTACGATTGAAATCATGCCAATCGACGCACAAACTTTCCTAGCTTCAATTTAGTTCTTCTGTACAAAAATTGACAAAGCATGTCCACTTGTGTGAATTCTATTTCTTCAATTCATATTCATATGTTGTGGTTATGATTTACTGAGAGATGTCAAAGGGGGTACTGAGAATGAATCCAATGCATGACCATTACTATTCAAGTGGCATGCACATGCGTCATTGTCACGACATTGAAGAAGACGACAAATATTTCATTGAAATAGGCAGTCATCAAACTCATCCGTTTTGGAAAATTGCATGTTGATTACATTACCATCCGACTACGATGATTGAAGTTGATGCAAAAATAGTTGTTGTGCTCCATATTTTAGTCCACAATGATGGGCTGGCACTACTGCTGGCATCACTACTGATATCACTGCTGCTGCTGCCGCTGCTGCTATCGCTTTCAAAAGGATTTTCTTCAAGTTCTTCTTGTTCCTCGTCAGGCTTCTCCTCCAAAGTCAACATGACTTCCGTAGTTGTATTTGTTACGCTGTCTCCTTGCGGCAAGCCCTTGACGATGTCAATGGCCGGATAGTCTTCCAAAATCCATGCGTTTCCCTCGGACTCATAGGTAAATTGGTTGGGAACTGGGTCCGCGACATACATATTGTTCCCCAAAAATACTTCTTCCATCCCCTGGACAACCCGGGCAAAGGGAGAAAACCCTTGCGTGTCCAAAAAGCTGTTGTCTGCTGTGTTGACGAATATCTGTGTTGTGCGGGTCCCCGGTCCTGAAGTGGCAAACGAGACCATCCCCTTGGTGTTGGATTCCATCACGGGATCGTCTGGGATTGCCGTGCCCCACTTTACGGTCTCCACTGGGTCGGAAGCGATCCCCCACTGAACGACGAAACTGGGAATTACCCGAAAGAATGCTGCACAATCGAAATAATTGTCTTTGGCGAGGGCAAAAAACCGATCGGCACCGAACGGTGACCAGGTCCGGTTTACCTCAAAGATGATGGGAATGCCATCAGAGACGGTCGAGGGCATTTTGACGTAAAAGTGATCAGGTGCCACCAGATCGGCGGCGGGGTATGGGTTTGGAACGTCGTGGGAGCCGGGTTGGCAGGCATTTTTATCGTAAGCAGCAGAATTGGTTGCGGACTCGATCTGAGCGAAAACATTATTTAGAGGGTTCCCACCGAGAAAAAGGGCAGCGACGATTACAACCAAAGTTGGAAACGATCCGACGAATTGAAATTTCATTGTGATGAAATTCGTTGTGATCACTTCAGTTTGGCTGAGACAAATTAAAAAATGACGTGAAAGATGTTATGGGTCAAGATGGCGAGGTTTCTTTTCTTTCCACTACTCGTACTCGTACTGGACGATTATCATCTTATTAGCGCTGCCGTACGATACCATATACAGTACAATACGGTCCCATACGATATTCGTTAGATTACTGTATTAAAAATGACTTTCTCGCTTTTTTCGTTTTTCGCTTAGTGGGAGTATCAGCAGCTATTATTTTTTACTTTTTACGTTCATACTCCCACTCCAACCATTTTACGAGTACGTACGGCATCATTATTCAAAAAATTATGAAATGCAAAAAAATGCAAAATGTTCTGTCCTCACGTACTGTTGTAAGAATAACACGAGTATTACAGTATCCAATTACAGTATCCAATAGACTTCGAGAAGAGATTTTTTGTTCGTAATTTTTTTGATAATGGGTTTCGTTTGAAATTTTTGGTTCCAATTACAATAAAATCCGAGAACGCTTTCTCTCCAAAAAGCTTCTACCAGTGCATCGTTTCCATACTAGTTGTAGTCATGCGGTACTCTCGCACCATTGTAGTCAATATCATCTAATGATGAGGCAATGCGGCAAGGTTGTTTGCTCATGATCGTTTTAGGACAAAGCCATGAATGATCTGGTACAACTGCAAGAATAATTTGTGATTGTATACCCCTGCTAGCACTCACTTGAGTTTCATTGCAACCATATTTATACGAAGCAGGTCCATAAAATCGCATTGAAGTGGTTGTTCCTCTTCAATTGCTTCCTCCATAAGCTTCCAAGACTTGAACATTTCCGATTGAATTCGCCTAGTGGTTGATCTAGAGATACGGTGATCGGCGGCATCTACCAGCCACTTCTCTAAATGGACAAAGAGTCCTTGGTCATTTTCGTCCGTAGCTACCTTCGTCTTGTCATTATACTTTCGTTGGAATTCGTATACTGCTTCAAATTTATGTTCATTGATTGGCTTCTTTGTGAAGTTTAAGTTTGAGACCTGTTCCCCGTTCACTATGTTCTCACGAAGACACGTTGCCAGCTCTTTTTTTCTTTGTGAAAATCCCGTACCCTGCTTTGGAATCGCATCGTAGCAGTCTCGGATGACATGCAACTCCACAACGTGGTCCAGTTCGAGAAATTTATCAATCGAGTCTCGCGTTATCTTCTCCTTTGTGTACACATCCATTTTCTTTCTATGTTTCAGCACACCCATTTTTTCTCCTTGCGAAGAGATCTGTTGGTGCAGAATATTTTTGGATCGGTACCAAGGGCACTTTTGTTGCTGTGGTATTTACACTTGCCTCGCGGTATCATACAAAAGCCACCATTTCTCGTCCGAGCTCCGCATTTCGTGATATCTGGATGGTGCCACTCGCACAGTCCATCCAACTTCCCAATGTTTCTGCATTGGTTTCCTTTTAACGTCAGTGCGATTCATCTATCCATTGCTGATCGATTCGAAGCGACTATCGTCGGTTGGAAGGGTCAAGAGGGAAACGGACACTTTTTTTGCATTTTAATTTTTGTTTGATAGAAAACACTTGTGCGAATTTGCAGGCTGCAATGGTTTCTAGGAAGGAAAGTATTTCATGAGTGTCATGTGCAATCATTCCGCAACAGAATCTTCTTTTTTGGTGTTCTTATTTTTTTTTGACATCACATGTCCATGCAACAAGAACGCGAGCATTGATCTGAAAAGGGCAGAGTAACTTCAACACTAAATCTCTGATATTACGCACTGACATCGACAGACAAAAACACGATTGGGAAGCACTGCGACTTCGATTTCGTTTCGCAGACGAATATCTTCAAACGAGATAATACTGTAAGAGAGCACGTGTGAGACGCTCGTGTAACTTATGGTTGAAAAGTGGGTGCAAAAGAGAACGTGCCAGTGGTAATGAGCGCTCCATCCATGACTCCATATTGAATGGCGGAATGATTGAAAAGAATAATTCATTCCGCCGTTTGCTATCTGTCGTGAGGTATTTTAAAAATATTTATGGTGGGAGGGAAGCTAGTTTCGGAACACACATGATGGATTTCGGGAGCTTTTAATAACATTTTCGGCCATCACTATGCACATGGAATGCGTGAGTTCAGATTTTGGCGCAAAGGGCTTTTATGAAATCCACGTGTAATGATAGAATGCGGAGCGCACATCTTTTCCTCAATTTTCGGCAAGCTGGTCTTAAAACAACAATAGAATCCCTAGAAAGAGACATCATCGTGATTCTATTGGAGGGATGTTCGGCTAAATTTTTCGACACCCGTATCGCTAGAATAAAGACGATGATTCAATCCTTCTTCGCCTCTCCTAGGAATGAATTCCAAAACCAGATTGATTCTTTGACACTTTCTCTCACAAAATCGTAAGAAATTGCTCAAAACCATTTTCTGTCGCACTGAATCGACTCGATCGTGTAAGACGCCTCAAAAAGTTCATTTTACATAGTAAGGTATGTCCCACAGCTCCTGACAATAATCCGTTTTCCTCACTCTAGTGAGTTCCAAATCATCCAGTTGAAAACTTCGCTTCGTTAGAAAAATTACGTACTCCAGAAATAGTGCTGATTATCTTTCTCCCTCATTCGCTCTACCCTCCAATACTTATCTCACCGGTATTTTCACAAAATAAGACCTTCAATCCCATTTTTACTCAGTGAACTATGTCAATCCTGTTTCCTACCGACAGCAGAAAATTTCTCTTCACACTCCTTGCGTGGTTAGTCATTACCACAACAACTAATGCAGCGAGTATTCGCGGTCGCGAACGCAATGAGCGAGAACTAAAGAAATCAAAAAATTATTCTTATTACCGCCCACCAATCCCACCTGTTACGTTTCCAGCTACCACCACTTCTTCAACAGTGATCGCTCCCGTTTCGATTAATCCAGTCAAAGCAAAAATAGTCAAATTCGAAGAGGGATGTGACATTCAAGTCGGAGGTACGTATTCCTGATCTATTTGTAATACAAAACTATCCTCTCGTAAAGAGTCATCTGACGACTTTTGCCATCAATAATTTTGGGCGTCCCTCGTTGTTGAATGGACTTTTTCATGATATTGTCCGGTTATGATTGTATTGGAAATATAATATTTTCCAAGAACTCGAAAATTGCGTCAGGGATGGAGGTGGCATCATTGACGTCTGCAAACAATGCCTAGTCGGACTCTCCGCGATGAACGGCGTTACTCTTGCCAGCATTAATAACTGTAGCAACCCACGTGTAGATATGTGTAAGGAATGCTACGCGGAGGGCCTGGCATATTACAACTGTGGGACAAAAAAAGCTCACGGATCATCCATCAGCGTTGATCCCACCTCGGGTACCATTGGAGGTACCACCGGGGGTTCCACTGGAGGTTCTACCACAGGTGGTTATGCACCCACCCAATCTTGTCCCTTCATCACCGCAGTATCCGGCGATCCTTGCTCGGTCCCGGGAACCTTCCTTTATCTCGAGTGCTATTATTTTGCACTAAGGTGCACATGCCGAGCCGATGAGAAAGTCTGGGTTTGCAACCCATATCCTTAATGTTACAGACACTGTCAGTAAAAGAAAACAAGGCAGAAGGCATTGCGTGTTTTGCCATCTAAAGTAAATGGGTTTTCGAGGAACCAAATCATTATTCAATATTCAGAAACAAAAGAAGACATAGTTCGTTCAATAGATGACAATTTGATTCATTTTTTATAGTACAATATAGAAAAATAATAACAACGATAAATAATACATTCGAGTGATATCTGAAAACACAAAAAATAACGAAAGTCATACGGTACGTGATTTCATGCTTTTGTCAAATAGAATAGAAATAAGACACGGGAAGATTTGTTTTCGTTTACGATACAAAATTATCGAAGTAGTAGCCTACTACCAATGTGGTTTCATTGGATTCGATGTGAAATTTGATGTCATGTTGGCGATGAAGAACGTTGCCTCTGGTAGGAGAGGTAATACTGACAAAATGGTAAACATATGCTTACCTTTTTCTTGTCTTGTAGGTTGTCCGATTGCATTGATTCGTTCCGGGTGCTCCTTTTTCATTTTACTGCATTGTTTATGAGACTTTCATCCGAAATTGCCGTAGAATAATGGATAACAAATAATACTTTACCCGACTCGTTTCGGTTTATGTGGCATCGATACTTTTGGAAAAAACGTGCATCACTTGACATTTCGACGGAGTATTTCCGCTGGGTGTTACATTGCATTATATTAAATTTTCGATCAGTGATGGATCGGATTTGGTGATTGAAAGAAACAAAGACGATCGAATAAAATGAAACAAATAATAGACTGTGAGTGGGGCAGGAGAAAGACGGCAAACAAACAACGGAAGCAAGTGAGCATCGAAGGAACACAAAAACAAAAATTCAGGACACGGATGGTTCCGATCCCTCTAACCGAGGAAACGGGGCTTTGACCGTTGGAAGACAGTGTATTAGTGAAATTGCTGTGTGTGACCTGGGGATGTGTGGAACATATCAGTATATAAAGTATGCCTCTAAGAATATCGGCCACGAAGACCAAAAACAAAAGAAAAAATCAGGACACGGGCCGTTCTGATCTCTCGACCTGAGGAACAGAGTATCAACCGTTGCTTTATTGACAGTATTCGTTGCATTGCTGTATGCGTCCTGCTGAGAAGAGGAACTTTTTAATATATAAAGAATACAGGTCACAGGAATCAAAGAAAACAAAAAGATCAGAACACGATTGGTACTGTACGGAGTCGATCCCTCGAACCGAGTGAACGAAACCGTGTAATCATGCAGTTGTGATTTGCTGTTCGTGTCCTGACGCTTGTGGTAACCTTTAGCTATATAAAGATTACCATCGAGGTGTTGTAGAACGTGGAGGTTGTAACGAGCTTGGTCGTGGGAGCAGCCACTTCCAATTTTTGTTTGTTGTCGCGGGTTTCGGGTTTTCCTCAAAAACTACGAGTACGTACGGATACTCCTGGTAGGTAGGACGCTACGTACTGGTACATCTTTCAGGACCTCCAGTTGTTTTGTTCCTACCCGTACGTACGGTACTCGTACGGAACGCATTGTAAAAAAGTGACGATCCGAAACGCGACTGGTCCGAAAGGAGCTGAAGTAGCTCTTATTTTCTTTGAACACAGCTTCCGCCCACACCCTGATCGTGCCTTTCGGATAGATGGACGGACGGACTTTCAAACATCCTCGTTGCTGATGATTCGTCTGTTTTTGACAACATCCCTTTTAATCTCTGCTGGTGATTAAAGGTGTCTAGCAGCAACGCTACAAAGTTATCTACCGCAACTACAATAGCGAGTGGCCACCAGCACTACGTATTGGTATCACGACAAAAGGGACAAGAAACGCACCATGTCGTCCCCATTCATACTGCGATTGGCGGGAAGCACGGCCGCTAGGAGAAGTTTGGCGGCTTCCTCTGTACACGCCGGTTCCTCTTTTCAACTCCAGGCGTCAACGCTGGAATTTCCGTGCCGGCCCGAAACAAATACGGCTGCAGCCACGTCCAGTCCAATCGCAGAACAGCGTCGTTCGTTTTGGATGGACGTCGTGCGGATCAAAAAGCAGTCGCCGCGTCGATCTTTCAAAGACAAGAACGACGGGAGCAGCAGCAGCAACCAGAAGATGGCCCACGAAGACCCAGAAATGGTGGTCCGACGCCACACAGACGAGGTTCGGGCCGATGGAGAGAACCTGCTGGACCTCATGTTCTACAACGACCGCCACGAAAAGGCGTGGATGAAACGCAAGCGGATGCAAAACCTTAGGAGATACGAATTCGACAAGAAACACGTGACGGATCTGGCCAAGTACATTGCCTTTGTTCAGGATTATGGTGATGAAAACGATGACAAGGATGGCGATGGATCCAAAAAATCAAAAAAGAAATAGAAATAATTATTACTGCTGAAACAACTGAACGGACGAATTAACTAAGAAACCAAGGTGTTCGGTGTTGAAAGCGGATGTGCTTTTCGGGGTGCATTGGGAGCTTGAAGAACGGTTCTGCAACAACAACGAGACGGAGTGAGACTAATGATAAACGTTACTGTATCCATGACGATGGGATCACAACGTGTAGAAATTATAAGATTGAATGGGGATGAAACGATCAGATGGGTACAATGTTATTACGAAGGAAGGAATGGCAGTGCAAGAGTTAGAAAAGGATGCATCACACAAAAACCTTTCCAAGTACGTTTTCTGGATGAGGTCTCATTTGATGCCCTTGTGGTTTGGTTATTCGACTAGCTCGAAAAAGTTCGTGTGTGCACACGCATGCGCACATTATTGTAAAGTAAAACTAGCAGTTGTCAGGAATTTTGGCGTGCCTTCCATACACTCCGTTCTATTAGATCGATTTCCGACCCAACTGCGCATGCATTCCTTCGGAAAACTTTCGGAAAAAGTGTTTCTGAGATTCATCGACCGAAAATACAGCATTACAAAGACAACTGATACAACGATACGTAGAGATATTTGTCGAGGTTAAAATTCGTGTAGGCTGTGCTCCAATCGGGGCCTCCCGACTGCTTTCACCTGGGACGACACTTCAGTCGCCGTCATAGTTGTGGCATCGATATCAATTTGTAGTATACCATAACCACAATATACTCATTCAGTACTTGGGTTTGTTTCGGCTGTATTTGTTTTCTTTTCTTCACCGTGATTGATAGTTACCTACGGAACCGGTTCCATCTTTAATTGCCAACTCAGTAGCCCTTACTTGATGCATCAACGAGATAACACGACACATACGCTAGATTAAATGAATGGTTGTACGAAGGAAGTGATGAAGCATAACTATCATCTTTCATTATAAGTGTGCATTATGTTCATGTGTGGCTATACGATCATCGGTTGAAATTTAGTGCAGGAATCTGATGGGCAATGATCGAGAAAAAGTTAGCCCTGCTATCTTTTTTCTCTCCAAAGACGAGAAAGTCATCTCTGAGCAACAAATCCCGTGGTCCTGTCGGCTAGGTGATAGGGAGGGCTAACAGATTGGCCATCCTCTTAAGAAGATATGACATCGAAATCGAACCGGACGGACAAAAATCCGTAATAGGCAATCCTATTTGGAACCAGAGATAAATTACGATCGGCTCGCCAAAACTGTGACACTTTCAATCTCAGGAAAAAGTGACTAGATCGTCGGCCAGGAACTTTGGTAGAAACAAAAATTTTGAAAAAAAAAATGTCAGCGAGAACGACGGCTCATCGGATCGTGGAATACAATCGCAACGAGTGCTTTTTGTCTGCTAATAGTCATCGGTCTTCGCAAACTAGATTGGAGGAAAAACAGTCGTATAGATCAAAACATGTCCTCATAGTACGTGAATGCGGTGGTAGGCGTAGTGCTTGCCTCGTCCGGTGCAAGACTTGGCTTTTGGAGCTGGCATTTTGGAAAACACAGTAATAAACATACCAGTATCTGGCATCACATGCTTGTGTTGCTTTGCATACCCGACGGTTGCGTTTCGCAACGATTCGGCCCGCTCGAGCACTCGTAGTTCCTGTTTTCCCCATTCGGTGATGAAACGCAGAAGCAAATAAAATTCTCGGTGTGAGACAAAGCGAAAAGAGAAAACAAAGCCGAGAAGGACTGTCAGGACCGACCAAGCGAAACTAGCGAGGGAATTTGACTTCCAAAAAGACCATTTTAGTCTTTTCTTCGATCGACGTCCGTTTCGTAGGATTAAAAATGGCCCCCAAACAAAATAGTTATTTCTCTTGCACTGCTTTTCTGCCAAACCATCACTGTCGCAAGGACTCTGATTCAGCCTATCATGAGCGCGTGTACCGTGTTTGTGGATCTCATTGCTGCGTCGTTTCGTCTCCGGCAACAAGAACTTGAATGTCGCTACACAAAGACTTACGGGAAGATAGACAAAACGCATTCAATTCAGTCCATGCTGGCCGTCTACGGAGAATGCTTGGCTTGTGTGCATGTTCTCTCTCTCTAAAAAATCGATTGAATGGGGCGAAAGAAACATTGGTATGTCGTTAGATTGACAGATAATTATTCGCCTCGAGCCGCAAAGGAGCATACACACGCTCAAAAACACTGGCTGCACCGGTCTTGTTCTTTCTACGTTGCATAGCATCCGATTGTATCGCATCGTCCGAGGTCGGCTGTAAAAACTCTCAACAATCCTTGCATCTTTGTGCAAAGTCTGTCCTATCGATCCTTTGGTTTTTGTTTTGTATCGTCATTCTCGGAAACACAGTGCGCGATACGATGCAATGCGGTTCAACGGAACCAGTAGAAAAGAGACGAACCGCCGTGCTGCCTGCACCAAAGAGCCTCGCCGACCCACTCACCATGGGGTTTTTCCGAATTGCCATCGGCTAGCAACGCCAGCCTGGATACCCGACGCGTCGGTGCAAAGAAGAATCTGTCGTTCCGTTCACGAAGCAGTCATCCGTATAGTTCATTTGGACGGCTTGTGGTTGTGCTCCTCGGCTGTGTGCTGCTTCGGCCGAGAGGCTCGCTGCTTCACAATTTCGGGATCGATTCCGTAGACGGTGGTGTCGAGAAAGTCGCGTGCATCTCTCTGCAGGCCCGAAAACACGTGGTCCTTTCCCTCAAAGCCGGGCACGTGGTCGTAGTTTGAAAAGAATGTGGCCTGGATGCCGGCTCCCGTGCATGCAATCGCCGTGATGAATTTTCTGCGAAACAAAAGACGGGATGGATCAAAGGATACTAGTTGTGAGATAGAGCTATTTCTGTTTCCCCAAGCTCAAACTCGGTTGCTGCGGCGTGTGATGTGGATTCTGGTTGCAACAATCGTTGGCAGCTCACGAGTTGCTTCGTTTGTTTGATGCAAAGATGCGTAGAGCACACGCTGTTATTGGCCTCGTTTTGGATAAAGTGTTTTCCTGCATCGATTGCGGAGTAATTCTAGAGCAATTTTCATCGTCATTGGCCAACAAACACGCCCGAACAAACACGCCAATTTGCGATGTAACCTTTCGTTCCGCTGTACCCAGGAATTCAAAGCAAAGAAAAGCGACGCAGTGCACCGCGGTATGGCTTCTCTTTTACTTACATCGTCCGCTGAGCTTGTGGATTGCCCAGGTGTGACATCTTGCAACAACTTTCGCCGTTTGTTACCCCTGTACCGTGTGTATTACCGAGGTTGACTAATGCAATGCATCAGAGACGGGGTTTGGAAGAAGAACCAAGAGGTCTGGGGTGACGAGGAATAGGTCTTTCCGCACCAGGCTACCACCACTCGTTGATGGCTTGGCACCGGTATGTTTTATGCGAGGTTGACTGATTATTCAGAACGTAACGCTATTACAGTATCTCTCGTACAGCACTGTACGGTACGGTACGTAGTTTTGTTTGACAGACAGAACGATTTTGAATTCCGTACAAATGGTTCGAGTACTCGTACCGGTAGGGAAACATGATGGGAGGTGGTGGTTGGTTATCAATCCCAAGGATTATTGGCTTTGATTTGATTGACGGTCAGTTTGTAGGGGACGGAGGGAAACAAGTTCTTCTCAGTATTTTTTCAATTCGATTTTTTCAATTTCTTTCAACGTACGTCGGTCGGACCTAACTTTCAAGCCACGAATGAGAAAACAATACTTCTATTACGGGCCGTGATCCGCAACTACCAGGAGGTACGAGTAGGGTAGAATGAACGTACGCATCATACCCGTAGGAATTCTGGATGGGATACAAAAATGGGGACTCTGGGAGAATCACTCCAGCTGCGCCAAGGGAAGTTGTGAATTTTGGAACGCCCCAGGTCTCCCGCCAGTAAAACATTCAAGTACCGGTACTATTTACTGTAACTTGGACGCTGTACGACTGCCAACGAATAACACCTCGATCATGCCACTACGAGTACCGTATTTCCTTCCCTCACATTCCAAACCCAACGCAACAAATCGCATCCCAAATACAGGAAACAAGAACGCCAAAACATTAGGCAATACAACATAGATTCCAAAAGTTGATGGTATAGCTTTTGCAATCACAAACCTGAGAGCAAAAAAGAAGGAAGAATCAATAATAATATTCCGGAGACGCAAGCGCAACAACAGAAACTATTGCAAGGAAATTGATTGCACCACACCGCGCACCGAAAGAAAACGCATAGCAGCACAAACCATGGCGGGAAGACACCTCGGCGCCTTTTCTCGCACGCTTCCGGCCAAGATGGCCGTGGGGCCCTTTGCCCGGTTAATCGCCCAGGCGATCATTCCGGTGGTGGCCGTCCTGGCCCGGGCCATCCCCGCGGCCTACGGCCAGGCCCTGAACAACGCCAAGAAGGCCGGCGTCGATGCCTCGGAGGCGGCGGCCCCCGTCTTTGGCAAGACCATTTCCCGGTCGGAGGCTCTGATGGTGCTGAATCTTACCGAGGACGAGGTGAAGGCGGATCCGAAGGCCGTCCAGAAAGTGAGTATCGATCACCGTAGCGCAGCGCGGCGCTGTGTGTTTTCCTTTGTTGCTTTGGTCGTTGTGGGGATTGCTGTGCAATTCGACCGCGTGTGGAAAAAACGGGGAAGAAGCTGTGCATCGGATGCTGCAGGCGGGGCACCGAAATTCGGGGAATGTCGCACGTAGCTTTCAAGTTTCGAAATGTTGCAGTGGAACACACATGTGGAGGGTATATTCTCTATCACAAATTCCGCCGGTTCGATCCGATATTGTCGTCGATCAGAGTACACAAGGGGCACACTAACCCGGATGCGTGTATAGCTAGAAGACTGCTTCCTTTCTGTCGTTCTGCTCGACTCCGCTGTCGATTCGGTTCGGAACCAGATCGTTATCGCTGTCATTCACTCACCCAAATCGTTGTATATCATTTCTTTGTTTCCTGCCTTTTGCTTTGAAAACAAACAGCAATTCGAGAAATACTTCGAGGCCAACGACGTGAGCAAGGGGGGGAGTTTTTACCTGCAGTCKAAAATCTATCGCGCCAACGAATTGCTACAAGAATTCCAGGCGGAAAAGCAAAAGGAAGCATCGTCTACGACGGCAGGGGACAAGAAGCAATAAGTAAACGGACGAGCGCTTTGCGGCTACGTACTATTGCATATTGAGACAACGACCAGATGGTTTTCTACTGTATCGATTACTAGGCCTGGTAGGATGGAACGAGCGAGAGAACGAACTAACTAACGAACTCAATTGGAACAAACACAGCAAGTCACGGAGGCCTCAACCGGTAAAGAATACAAACATGTGAAACAAAGCGAAGGCAGAGAAAAGCAAATGGACAAAATATGAGCAGGAAGAAACATGCATTTGCAATGCAGCCGTACTCTAAGGAACATCGGATCTGCGCTTACCCAACTTACGACGCAACGTTTGCTGATTGTGGTGCCGGATTAGATTCTGTTGGATTGTAGTGACGGTCGTTGTGCTGTGTTCTCGGACAGCACCAACGGCGCACCTCCACACACGTTTTGTTTGCGTCGGCACCCGGTGTGACAAAAAATGTTGCTCGAGTGAAGAGGTGTACGAACAGAAAAAAGATTTTGGATCTTTTTTTGTTCCATCGAGAGCGTTATGAAAATTAGAATAGCACTAAACATAATACAGTCGTTACCAACAGGAAGGAAAACAATTTCTATAAAAATAGTAAGCATTATACAAATTGTTGATGGAGGATTCGCGCAGCTTTTCAGACCAAAAGCTTTGCTTTTGTAAAGATCGAGATTAGCTAGGCGACCGATGAAACAATGTATGCAATGATGTAAACTAAGTATCTATCTTGAAGAGTAGTAGTCCCAAAAATAGCATTGCTCCCTCTCATTTTCATTTTTAGTGTTGGTAGTTAATGATGTAGTAGCAAAACCGAATCAATGAGCCAAGGTCTGCGATATAAGACGGTAAAAAATCGTTGTTGGAACTACAATAGCAGTAGTGGATATTGTAATAATTTATGCTCTTACTACTACTACTAGTAGTGGTAGTAGTATTACTAGTAGCTATGCTTTGTTCTACACCTAAATTCAAGAAGCCACAAAGAAGGAGATTCACAAGAAGAGGGAATAAATTACTCAAGGTGGAAAAAGCTTCTTGTCATTATTAAAGATTGGTGGTTCCCTGAAACAAATAGTTTCCATAGAGCAAAAACAAAGTTAGTGCCACCAAGGTGGAAAGTACTACTACTCTGAAAAGAATTAAGAAGCTAATCAATGAAAAAACTGTGGCTATTTGTTGTCTCTGAAATAGGAAGGGAATTCTGCAAATTCATAGGTTATTTGTTGTTGTGTATGTTGGGTATTGCTGTTGGTGGTGTTGTATTTTATAAGGAGAAAAGGTTTTCTTACAAGTTCACCACCACTCTTCCACTTGCTTGTTATAATTTTTCAAAATCCATGTTGTCATCAATCATGACAGGTCTACCAAAATACAATTTAAGTATTGGATCTATTCTTTTTTGAAGTTTTCTTGTTGGTCCCACTTGCAACAAGAATGTCAGCACCTGATGTGGTGGTTACTTGTTGGAAGCAGTATTTCTGAAAATCTGGCATATCTCAGTATTTTCTTGTTTTGTCAATCTGCTGCAGTTTTATGTTTGAGTTTGTCCTAAGGTTTACAATTCTTGAATTGAATGTATCATGAATATGCTCTTCTTTCAAGAAGCCATTTGTTCTTAAATATTCAAGCCATTTGTTCTTAAATATTCAAGAAACTCCCTCCCCAGATTAGATCATATTTAGTACTAAACCTGCTATTTGTTGTTTTAACTTCAAGAAATATCATGTTAGATTTTTTCCAAAGATAGAACTCTTTTGTTGACAAGAGGGAGTCTCCACCACCACTACCACCAGTCCCTGATAGGAAACAGATTAACTGCTCTTCATTGTTCATGGTTCTTGCCTTGAGATCTTGTATGTAGCAGTACTTGATGCAGAAATTACAAGCCTTCCTCCCTTGGAGTCCCTCCATTCATTTAATCAATCAGATGGATCCACAGATTTCTTAAGTACAAAAACAAATGCAGAAACAGTCAAACTATGCATTTTCTTGGTCCCTATCATTTTGAAACTTCAACTTTCTATAGTAGTAGTAGTAGTAGTAGTAGTAGTAGTAGTAGTAGTAGTAGTAGTAGTAGTAGTAGTAGTAGTAGTAGTAGTAGTAGTAGTAGTAGTAGTAGTAGTAGTAGTAGTAGTAGTAGTACATTACCACTAAATTGTCTGTCTGTAAACTGAGCCTGATGACCTGATGGATCTCCTACTGATGTTGATGAAAGAAATTACTAGGATGACAACTACTAGTAACACTTTCATCATAGTTTCAAAAGCAGCATCTAGTAGTAAACCACATCTCTCAAAGATTTTGTGTAGTACTACTACCAGCATACTATTCTAGTAGTACTAGTAGAGTATTTTGAATTTTTGAAGCATGCTTTGGCGGCATGGTTGTAAACTGATTTGACTGCATCAATATTGTCATCTTTGTAGAGTCCTTTCTCCTCACAGCCATCAAATTGCTGCCTTTCTTTGCCTTCTTGATGCTGACTTCAGCAGCATGCTTTCTTAGTGTAAGTGTCTGCTGCTGATCACTAGTAAAATTTCCCACTTATGCCACTTGAATAGACTTTGTCTAATTACTTTATGAAAGAGTGTCCTCAGGTTGGTCATCATGCAATCCCTCAAATCAACATTTCCTTCTTCAGAAGAGAGGCACCAATGCTTATACTAGTACTACTACTAGAAGTGGTAGATGTTCAAACTTTGTTTCTAGTTCAACATCACCACTGTCAAAGTGAGGAGAATTAATGTTATAGGTGCTTCTGTGCATACCTGCTGTGTAAGAAGCAGACAACTTCCTCTTGAAACAAGAGCCAGATAGTACATCTTTTGACATTGCTTCATCATGTTCTGCTAACAAATCATCTGTTGTTAGTAATTCATATACATTTGGAAAAGGTGGTGGTTTGCCCCCATAATAATAGTAGTTTTGGCTTAGCATAAGTAAGAATAGTGAGGAAAGCTCACTTTTTACCAACCATGATTGTCCGGGATGCCGTCATGTTTGTAGTAAGAACATTAGTGTATGTAATGTTATGTTAGTACTACTACTAACATTGAGTGATGGACAAACAAAGTCCTCAAGGTTGTAGCTTAGAAGTCTTTCATTAATGTTTTTGCTGCTTTGTTGATAGGAATATCCTTGCCAAAAATTTTTGCAATGACATCCTACTACCTCTGACCAGCAGCTGTGTTGCAGCCAGGATGGATTACTTCCAAAAAAATCCAAAAAGTCTCTGTCTGTCAACAAACACTACTATCAGACCAACATCAGTTGGTACCATCTTTTTATGGACCACACTTTCCAGCATTGGATTGAAGATCAAGATCTTGAGTCAGGTTTCTATTGTCATTACCTGTGGTTCTAGGACCCTCCTTGTTTGAAAGCTTTTTGTCGTCATCACAATATTTCTCTATTGGAGTAATGCAATGAAGCTTTCCTTGGTCACATATTTCCAAAAGCAGGTCTTTCACCAAGCATGGTTGATAAACAGAGCCAGATAGTTTGTCTCTCTCCACCCTAAACTTGCTCAACTGAGGCCACTTCTTTGTTTCCCCCTGGGGGTGACCCTGAAGCTTTCCTGTCCAATGTCCAGTACCAACAGTACTTCCCTCCTCTCATACTACTGTATCAGGTTTATGAAAAATATACAGGAGCATTCAATATGCTCCTACTATTTTAATTACCAACAATACCAATCTGATTGCTCAGTGCTTCTTCTTCTTCCTCCCTGCTCTATCATTGACTACTAGTAGTGTGGTACTACTACTACTACTACTACTACTACTACTACTACTACTACTACTACTACTACTATCTACTACTATCTACTACTACTACTACTACTACTACTACTACTACTACTACTACTACTACTACTACTACTACTACTACTACTACTACTACTACTACTACTACTACTNCTACTACTACTACTACTACTACTACTACTACTACTACTACTACTACTACTACTACTACTACTACTACTACTACTACTACTACTACTAATACTACTGCTACTACTAGCACTTCCTCTGTTTCACTATATGTGTCATTGTGTCCTCATTTTGATTTTCCAAAATATGTGTCATTGGTATTTGGCCTGAATTATCATGTGAAAATAACATGGTGGGCATGTTTGTACCATGCGTGATGCGCTCTCCATCTCAAAAATTAAAGAAACCACATGTAAACTGCTGCATGCACCCGGAGCCGTTTTTAGCTTCCTCTAATGACCCACTATGACCATATAAGAAGATACTTAATAAGTGTGATATGAATATCATGATAGAGCTCTCACTCCTGGCTTTATATAGCTGTTTTCCGTGTCTTTAAATGACTGGTGGAACCCTTCTTTCAACCTGTAACAAAATGAAAATCATATGCTAAAATGGGGCCTCTTTGAATAGCTGTACCTCTTTTAAAAATGCTTTAACACTTAACATGATCAAGACAACATTATACTTCTATAATAGAGCTGTTAATTGCAGAAAGAAGCATTACAATTTTCCAGTTATTGATCTTATTCCAGTAGTACTACTAGTAGCAAAGGTCGATGATGTTGGACACATTTAGTGAAGAAACAGAGGAAGTAATTACAAACCACCACTGGAGAGCATCACCACTCAAGGTATATTGGTCTTTGATACATGCTCCAAAAAGAGACAACAATAGTTCTTAAACTACCCCGCTATGTGACAGCAACAAGAAGAAGCAACCTTCTTCCAGCAAAAAGTGATGGTTGAAGCTTCCCCAACGCGAGTGGTACGCATTTCTCATCATTGTATAACTGTCATCTGGCAACAGCTTTCGTAGCTCAGCTGGTTAGAGCGTGGGTCTAATAAACCCAAGGTCGTGGGTTCGATCCCCACCGAGAGTATCATTGTGATAACCAATTATGGTTTCGACTTTTGTAAAAAATAACAATATTAGCATTAGTTTTAGAAGGATATTCCCATCAGCATGCGAAGGACGACACAAGCATTGAATTCGCTACAGAATTGTTGTTCTTCGTAGTTTGTTACACGCACGATGTCAAGCCATTCCCTCTTTGAGGATGCTCTTATTTGTGGCGCTTGCATCCCGTACTGGAACCTGGGGAGTCTGGTCATTATTTCTACTTTCGGCAATCTTATTTGATGTTGCATTCCTGGTTATTGGGGTAGAATTGGTAGGAAGGGAAGAGCTGGTGATGGAGACGTGTACGCCTCCTCCTATGGTACGTGCATAACTAGGAAGCTGCCCGAATTTTCTTTGGTAAAGGATGCAGTGGATTTTTGGAAATATCAAAAACCCTACGCTTGATACCGACATCAAAAAAGGATACATGGCTTCATAGAGAAATACGAAAGTTACGTCAGCATTTGTGAAGGCCCCATTGACAACGAGGGTGTAAGGAAAGCAGATCAATATTTGAAAGACCACGGTTTGAAAGATTCTTCGAGAGTCAGAAATATCCTCTCGTATCTTTCGGGTCTTGTAAGACATCCAAATGGTGATTGCTTGGCAAATAATCACTACAGCCAAGGTGGCTATATTGAATGCCATGTTCATTCGATTCGAAAACTGATACTGGTAGCACTTTTCAACAACATCTGTATTACTGGAATCATGTGGTTTCATCGGTACTTTCCACGTCCAAAAGGGCGGAGCCAAAATCGTCATAGCTGTTAAAAGCCCAATCTGGAGTAGGAGAATAAAAACGAAGGGACCGATCACGTGACTAACATGTATGATCTGGTTTTTTCGAAATTGGCAAACCTTCTCGGTGCGCCAGAGTTTGCAAAAGAAGGACATGTAGACGATGATGAGGCCGACGTCGAGTAACCACAACCTGATAATGCACAAAGTGTCAAGATTCATATTGATGAGAGTTCCCATGCGCACCACGGCCTTTGGACTCTCAAACAAGTTTTTGGATCCCACCATAAGTGATCCAATGCAAATCAAGCACAGAAAAGGAGGTTGTCCAAGAGCAACGATCGTCCTCTTCCGAAAGCTAATGACAAAAATGAGTGCCAAAATGCACAAAAGAGATGAAATAAGCCCCAAGACCATGCTTGTGATTGTTAAACCGGACGATATTGTGACGCGGACTTGTTCCCCTTCTTCTTCACCTTCTTCAAGGTATCTTCGAGAAACATCTTGTGCTGATACGGCAATCAAGAGGGAGAAGAAGAATGCTAGAAACGGCCACAGAGCATAGTTCGAAAGCGAGAAACTATAGAGCTCCATGTTTCTCCCACTTAGTTTAAAGTTCACACCATCGCAGCATGGCATAATTCTGAATTCCGAATCCCGTCCTCCAGTTTTCTTGACTCTCGTTTATTCTCGGTCGACTGTTAGAGTATTCAAATCAATTTTGCCATCAAGATCCTTTCCGATCAGGTTTGGGTAGATAGGAAGATTTCTACTACGCAGCAGCCGAAAATATCAGATTTGTAACTCTTGCTCTGAATTGTTATCTTCTACTATCATCCTCGTCCTAGCAACGCGATGAACTTTTACCATGCATTCTGGAGAAGCATTTTCGAACGAAAGGACTAGTAGATGAACTGAAAACTGAAAACGGTACCGTATTGGTTTGGGCAGATACTTTTTTTTCACGTTTCACGTTCTTTTCCGATCTCCATAAATGTCCCCATACTGACAGAGTGGTGTTAATCATCGACTCCTTCGACTGGATACTAAAAACAGCCTCCTCGCTTAATTTTTTGTATTCTCATGCATGCGCAGGAAATAAACATGCAGTGTGTTGCCGCATGCAACACGCGCGCAAGAGAAACAAACACAACGGTAATTTGTGCTAGTAGTACGAAGTAGTAGCAATCTCTTCGCGATACAGTACTTTCCTCTACTCGTACGGTACCGTACCGTACTCTTAAGAGGCACGCAACGAGGCATTCGACCCAAACAAGGATCTCACCAGTTCCAGACGCAGCACAAACGACGTTCATCGGCACTTGTTTCATTTCCATCTTCCTGAGGGTGAGTGAGTAACTCTGTCTACCGTTCTAATTGCACTTCAATGGACAAACGGTACAACTGTCTACTTCATAGGACCCACATGTTGGAGGTCCACGGAGCTACGTCCACATCTAGCTTGTTTACCACACCTTCTCGCTGTCCGCCAACAAGAGCACGAGGGCGACCTCTGTCGAAGGCACTGTTGAACTTGTTTTTTGCGTGCATTTTCAATTCGTGACTCGTATTTTTAAGTCGTCGCTCGAGACGACGGCTCTGATACAAACATCCTGGCAACGACTCATTTGCTCTTTCTCTTCTTGCAGATCAGATTTTCGCATACATTATGTTCTCGGCCTTGGCACGCAAATCCACCTCGAAATCGGCTGCTGCGCTTACGAGCACGGTCCGCCGAACGGTAGGTGTCCGAACCTTTGCCTCGGAGGATTCCCACCAACCCCCTGTCTCGGTTTACGGAACCGCAGCCCGTTACGCCAACGCCACATACGTTGCCGCCTCCAAGGCTGGAGCACTATCCCAGGTAGAAGGCGAACTCAACGGACTCGCACAGGCCGCAAGCGACAGTCCCGCCTTTGCTGGATTCCTTGACAATCCCTTGATTTCCCGGGACGAAAAATCTGCCCAGATTGAGGCGCTCCTCAAGGAAAAGAATGTTTCGGAAATCACTACGAATCTCTGCACGACCATGGCCGGAAATGCCCGTCTCAACGAGCTTCCCAAGGTAGCTGATACGTTTGCCACACTCATGAAGGCCAAGCGGGGCGAGGTTGAGGCTACCATCATTAGTGCCGATCCCTTGACCAAGAAAGAAACCGCTGACGTAGCGGCTGCGATCAAGGCTACCTCCCAGGGAGCATCGGAGGTTGTTATCAGCTCCAAGGTCGATCCTTCTATTATTGGCGGAATCCAGGTTCAAATCGGAGATCAATTCTTGGATTTGTCGATCAAATCTCGCATCGAAGAAATCTCTCGAACTTCCATCTAAGTAAACCATATTTTTATTACTTGGTACGAACGAGTGTGAGAATCTACCCATCATCAAAAAGTAAACATAGGAACGAGCATATGTAGGAGAAATGAAATTCGATTGTGGACGAGCGGCGCAATAATTGCAATCCAAACTTGCATCTTCACTACGAATCGAATCGACGGTAGCCCAACCACATAATACTGCAATAGTAGTTATCGACAAAAACAATTCAGGCAACAGTTTGAAACAAAAGACACGACCAAGTAGTTGTATTGTTATAGCTAGAGTGGCCCAGTAAAAGTCGACGGACGCCAAACCTCTTACTCTGGTATTCTTTTTTGCTTCAAGCTTCCAACAATATAAATGAAGCGAAGCAATTTTGAGATGTACCGTACTACTGAACAATGCTTTCCATTCACAAACTACCTAGTGCTTTCTGTTGTTCACGGGAGAAGTTTTTGTAGTAAGGAGCAAACTGCAGAAAAACGAAATGCCAAAGCACAACTCCACTCTGTTGTCCTCAGGTGCATGATGAGTTCAAATTAGAAGTACGGTACTTCATGGGGGAAGTCCCTGTGAAATCAAAGGGACCTGGTTGAGGTGTTTGTGGGGGTTTGTTTGACAAGGGGGGGGGCGGAAACTTGCGACATGCGCATAATTTCCTAATAAAAAATTATAGAGAAACTTGAGCCTAGTGGCCCAAGTAGTACGGCATCACGTACAGCCTGGCAGTGCATCACAAGGATGCATGCACGTGTATTGACCAGCTCCACCGTAAGGCCACGGACCTTCATGATCGTCCGCAAACCTCTCTAAGGTAAGTATGGGCGTCATCACGCACGATGCGGCCAAGCGCTACTACCCATTGATATCAAATAAATTTTAATCAGTCCATTTTTTTAGAAAAGATTTTTATCGCCTACCATTCGCTACTATGAGTTCGTACATACTTTATGTACCGTAGGGTACGTACCGGTACTGTTACCTAATTCTCTGAGTGAGTTTTGTCATACCATAGCTTGACGGAAAAATTCCTACTACTGTAAAAAATACGAAGGAAAGTAACTTACTACTAGAATCATGTTTACTATTCGAAGTGCTTTTGCACGATGCATCAGCATGAATACTGAGAGATGGTTTGGTCGTGTCTGTCTTTTTGTCCTCGTCCTCGCCGCCGACGTCTTCGTCGTTTGTCCCTATACGCCAGCATGGACTTACAAAGCAAAGCCGGTGACCACTACAACAATTCCGAGGACGGCGGTAGCAATATAAATCCAATAAAATTTGGTTAGACACTGGTTGTTCCATGCTTTTCAGAATTATACGCAGTAGCACTATTTTAAAAATAATCACCTGGTGTAGTTGTGCATTTGACGGTGTTGGTATTGTTGCTCACCTCATCTTTTTGTTTTCGTAGAGCACATCGAGAAGCTAGCTGCATCTTTACATCAGTCGTCTCTGAAGACGATGAACTGTCACCACTAGAGTCACAGTCCTCCGTGAAGACTGTAGAAAATGTCGGATTGAGTTTGAGCTGTGGATGGGCTTTCCTGGTTGATGATTTCTCTTCCTTCTTTTTGATTCTGGAGGAATCATCTTCAGCCCATAATGCAGAAAAAGTTAAAGAGGCCGAAGAGTCCTCATCTTTTTCGTTATGATCGATTGTTGCTAACTGGTTCCGAAAAATATGACAAATGCCTTTTGGACTGCCTAATTCTTCATCTGAGCTAGTTCCATCTTCTTCAGGTCGAGTTTGAATGGCGAAAGGAATCGAAGGATTGACACTCCTAATGCTTTGGATGTGAAATTTCGATCCGTGCTTTTGGTTGAATTGTGTGGAGATGGTTTCTACGCCCACGAGACCAATCGAGCTTACATCATCCCATTTGGATTCATCCGAATACTTCCAGCCGTTGTTTCTCTGTGTCGCAAAAACACTGGTATGCTCGAGTTGCGCTCGGATCTCTGAGTTCTTGAAATAGGGCGGTGGAGTTTTAACTGATTCATCGAACTTGTACAGTTCAGGTTCTTCGACACTGGGACACATTTGTTCACGTAAAGATATTGATTCTTTTCTAGTGCAACTTTTGACCTCGATCATCCCATGATTATTGCCATCACCCACAGCTACACTAATTCCTTGTTGCTCGCCAACAGAAAGCCTTTTTAAACTTCTTTTGTCCCATCTGCCATCAGGTTCATGATCGATATTGAACTGCAACTTCTCGGATATATTTGTGAGATCAGAAATGACTGATTGACAAGAATTTTGTTTGTCGTTGATGTTCACTTTGACGACGTTCAGCATTCCACAATGACGAGGTTTTGCTTCCTCATCAACCACAATAATAGGACGGTGAGGACCATTGGCATTTTTTGCCGCCTCATTCCTCTCGCGGTTGCCCGCTCTGAGACGATAAGTTCGCAGACGTCGGGCCTTGGCAGCCATAGAAACGGCCTCTTGTTTATCTTGGCGACGGAGAATGCACCTGTCACTCTCGACGGCATAGTGGGATTGTATTGGGTCTTCCTCGTTCTGCTCTTTTCCGTGTTGGTTATCTTTTGCTGCTGCAAAAGAATTAGCGTCGTTGTGATTCGGGGATTCGCTGGTCTCCTCCAATGGATTCATAGTCACATTATTGATAGAGAATCCAAAAGTATCCAAGCTCCTGGAAGTCGCTTGACTTTTCAAGTCAACAGATTCAGTCACGCTTCGAGTGTCTGGTTGGTCGGTACTTCCGCCCGATGACAGGTTTTCGACCATTGCAAAATCTTCTTCTTTCTTTTCTCTGTCATAACCAAATGTATCGGTGCTGCTACAACTAACCAGGGTTACTGAATCCTCTTGAACTGAATCCTCTTGATTATGAACACCGTTAGATCCACCAGAAACAGGAACAGTAAGACCGCCGTACAGTGTGTTCACCTTTTCCATATAATGATTAGAATCATCTCTGTAACTTTGCTTCCTGAAGGTTGATACTTTTGTCTTTGGTGCTGGCCGTTCGGTGGTTTTGATGACCTCCTTCCAAACCAAGAACTCGTCTTCGTGGCGTTTCCAAATCGTACGAAATTCTGCTTTCATCACTTCGAGTCGATCAGTGTCGATCTTACCACTGCTAGCACTGGCGATGCTTGAATCTTCCACGGGTTCATTTCCGGTGCCATCTTCTCCGTCAATATTCGTATCGTGACTAAAACTATCGTCCAAATCGACGGGGCCATTGCCTCTGCTATTGCTCGTACCCAAATACTTGTTTATCAAGTTTCTGGAGGATATCTCAGAAATAGAAGAATCGAAGAAGATGCTGGCGCCGTTTTCTTGGCCCACTGTGCTACAATCCGAATCGCTGTCTTCAAAGATGATGTTCACTTTGTTGGACGATGATCCACTTTCATCGCCGTCGCATCTACGAACCGCAACAGTGCCATCGTCGCTTTGATTTTTCTTTATTTGGTTATTCAAAGTGATGCTATTCTCTTTGTGCTTGACGTGGTCGCCATCAATTTCTTTGTAAATGTCTTGAATGACACGATCCAAGTGAAACGAATTAGGCGGATCGTTGCAGAAGACCGCCTCGTTTTCTTCGGGAATGTGTCGAAGAATATTGCTAGTTTCTAGCTGTGATAGTGGTAGCGGCAAAGACATCAAGGAGAATCCCACCAATCGGTCCTGTCGGAGTCGTCTCAATTGTCGGGCGGTCAAGGATGGTTGATATGGAATTACAAAGTTCTTCTCGCTAGCAGTCTTTAACAAAGACGGGGAATCCTCGATTCTTGTTATTCTCTGGTGATGGTACAGCTGCTGCTGCTGGCGATGGTTCACTGTCGGCCCGTTCTTCCCAAAGGCGACGCAAGAAGTCATGTCGGATGGAAATAATCAAAGAGGATAATCGTGTAAGTCCGTTTTGACGATGAAACTTCTTTGGGGATGAATGGGAACTGGATATTGATAATATGACAAAATAAAAGCATTTGTTTCCCTGTTTTCTTGCAGGAATCAAAAGAATTTTTATGATGGCAACTACGGTCAGATAAAATACCAGAATAGATTACCAAACACAAGAACTCATATCGTGATTTTCAGTGAAATCCTAGAGAGAATTTTCGAGATCGGAATGGGGCGGAGCATAGTGAAGGTTGTTGACAGCGAAGGACATTGAAAGCAACAAAGATATCCGTGATTACAGGGAGTTGAGAAGCACTCGCAACATCCTATCCAGTATGGTATCATATGTACCTGTCCCTCTTTCCAAGAAAAAGATTTCCGTTGTGATCGGATACAAAACGATAAGATGCTAAACAAAACCAAGCTATCGCATCGAGTGCCTAAGCATCGGTGAACGTTGTGAACCGGGACATTTTACTCGAAGATCTTCCGGAATCCGATGGGTTGGTCTGATTTAATGTTGACAAGACTTCGCGACCAAAGAGGCTTATATTTATGGTCAGATTTGCAATTCCATTTGATGGCAACCGTGATTACACACATAACACATGGCCAGTACTGCCAATATGGCCAATAGGTACGGCCTAATTGGTGTGTCAATTTATCTCGGTCAGTCCCGAGAGTTGGTTGCGTCACGATTTACTTCTCGAGTCATAAAACTGTTATGGCCGAAAGAACACGACTGGACTATCTTAAAACAGTGACGTACAGAGACGTTACCGGCGTACCAATAGAGGTTGCAAGTAGAAGGGAAAAAAGGATGTTGTAGTCCCAGTTTCGTCCAGTACTTACTTGCAACTGTATGTGATCCCGACTTCAAAAAGATCTCTTTGCATTCATGAATGATTCTTCAAATGTTGGTGGAAAACCATGACGAGAACAAAACGTTCGTTTTTTCCCAACGATCCATTGTCCCCACACGCGGATGATTTAATTACTTCGTATTATATTTCCTGTCGTTCTCCCGTGCTTTCCTAAAAGCCACTTAAACAACACTTTTCCTATCCATTGACGAGTAGAACGCCTATTCTTCGACGCTGCCGATCACTTGTCATCAAGGTTTTACCGTAGCACTCCCACTACTAGTTCTCAAACCACTCATATTGATGACAGTCGTGATTGGTATGATGATTCATCCTCTTTTTTGGTTATCAGTAGTAGCGTTATTGTCCTCTCCTTTCCAAATGACATTTGAAAAGGGTTGCTCTGTTGAGGCATTTGGTTTCATCTTAGCTGTTGCTTCTGCAGCTTCTCCACAAGAAAAAGTCGTTGTTGAATACCACCGCTCATCGAAATCAACCAAGAGATTGGCACGACGGAGACGGAAAATTCCTCTCGCATTGATCCAATACAACGATGGGGGAGGGGCCGAAAAAAAACCTTCCTACAAGAAGAACTCGGAAACCTCGTTGGCCCTAGGTATCCATATGGATGCACTTCCACAAAAAGTGCAGCCGCAAAATCCCACCAACAACGTCGGAAAGGCCATCAAGGACAAAGATGCATCCGTCATCTTCATAGTCCAAAGCGAGAATTATGACACAATTGATCAGGACATTAAGCCACCACCACCACCACCATCATCAATTGTATCTACCACATCATTAGAAGATTACATAATCAACAGCGACAAGAACGACAACGACAAGCAGGATAAAACCAGGGAATACCCCGTCATCCAAAAAGTCAACGCGAGGATCAGGAAAAACCAGCTCGCTGCAATGGACGAGACAAACGCTCTTATAAAAATGCTCCGCACGGCGGATGATAGCACTATGAGTATGAGTATGGGTTTCGGACCCAGTAAAATCAGCATGGCACCTATGGTACGTTTTTGGGCTATGGGTTGAGGGTGTATTGCTTTCAACCGGAGTAGTATTTCCCCTTGTGGTAATGTTTCCGTTACAGGCTTGCTTATTGCCTGCTTTGTCGTTCCGATGTTATTCAACTTATCTTTTTCCTACTTTTTGTTCAGACTTCGCCTACCGAAATGACCCAAACCAGTGGCTATGTCCCAGTTTTAACCCCAACCAAAAATGATGGTCCTCCAAAACGACCATCAGTATCCACCAACGCGAACAGCAACAGCATTGTATTGCCAACCGAATCTATACCTCCCTTTCCTGACGAGACAACTAGTTCCTCCGTTGCCGATGTTATTGAAGACGGTGCTTCAACCGTGTTCTTGGCTTCAGCTCATTTCTTCACAACCGTCATAGTGCTGGGTTGTATCTTTTCATGTCTCGTTTCTTAAATGTTTTCACCGAAGTGGGTAACATCAAGTACCGCAATAGCTGTATAACCAGCACTAGGGGATAAATTCATTATAATGGCCATTTGAACTCGCTGTATGCAGATCTTGGTTCGTACGGGATTACAGCATCTACCATTTTTACCACGCCCGTTTTGGCTCGATAATCATGATGGAAATTGTCACAATTACTGTGCTACAGTTGTTTGAATACGAATTCCATTCTCATGCAACGAAACGAATGTAACGTTTTCGTGATCCATTTGATCCATTCGTTCCAAAATCATTTACTCAAAAATGTTTTGCTTAATTATTGTCGGTTGTATTGTCCGAAGTATAATATACATCTCATGCTAAAGCGGGAACAGGACCTTCTTCGCCACTATCACTGGCGTTGCTGGTCTCGTCGCTCCCTCCACGTTTTCTCCTTGAAAAGAGCCGAAAAATATTCTTAAATTTGTTCCAGCTCCTGCTCATCGAAAACCGAAATCTTCGATAAAACCGTTGGTATGGTTCAAGCGTGCTCGTGGACACCAGTCGAATCAACTCGGCAACGCCCCGAAAAGGACGCAATATCGGATCCTCGTCTTCGTTTGAGCTGTACTCTAGAGCTAGCGTCGACGCTGCCTGGACGGCTGCCTCGGCGTCGACCTCGCACCTTGCTTTTGACACGGAGGCTGCCGCCGCAAAGAGCGTCGAAAAAAGGGGAAGGACTCCGACAATTGCCATCTCCCCAGTCAGTGACGCAACAGTTCCGCTAGCACTAAGGGTTTCCAAAAATGGCAATTCTACGATGGCCGCCGTTGCTGCGGCACAGAGTCCGCTCAGTGCCGACGTAAACGGTAAAATCGCTGCCGATCGGGCACCCTGATTCGCGTATGTATCACAGACAGCAGCGCTTCTTGCTTTGATCGCTACGGCATCGGTCGCCCGAGCGAGACAAAATTCGGCTTCCGCCAGCGTATAGGCCACTTGCGCAGCTGCTAGGGCTGTAACGATGACTGATTTCGTCGCCAGCGTAGCCCCGGGAACCAGTGCCCCCAGAATTGGTGCCGGTAAGACACTAAAAATGAAGGACCGCCATTTGATGCGAACGTTGTTTGTCTTTCCAGTAATCTGTTCAGATGTTGATTTCCAGGTTCTGCCGACTAAGCCACTCTTAGCGAAACGCCGATTTCCCACGGACGTCGCTTGATTGCAAAATACTTTTGTATCCTGGAGCGCCAGGGCCGCAACAGCTGCACTCAGCACACTTACCAATGGGCAGGCGAGATAAAATTCGTTCAATATTGATGACGCAGGTGTATTATTCAAAAGGACCGGAACCAGCAGACTCAGGGTGGTAGCAGTGGCACTCAAACCGACGCAAAGGGGCGTAATCGCTTTGGCGCGTTCGGCATTTGCCAAAAATCCCTCCGCTTCACTGGCACAGATGATGGTGGCAGCAGCAACCTCCTTTCCGTCAGCTACAGCAACCCGACCAACATATTCAGCGCCAATTCCTATGGCAGCGGAGACTGCAAATCGGCACCCAGCACATTGTATTCCATAGTCCACCAGAAATGCAAGAATGATCATTGTGAGGGAATACAGGTAGATAAAAATAAAAGATAAAATAAAAATTCTATGGATTCAGTCGAGAGAAAGTGTTCTTGCATGTGACAGGCACCTACGGCAATATTACCAAGTGTCCCCTTCTTGTCCGAAGTTCAACAAACTACTTACATGCTGCAGCTGTAGGGGGAAGAACCTCGGTCAACTTTCCGCCCATAATCCAAGGACTCGAAGAAGCTGCTGTGACCGAGGCGGACAACATAATCAACTCGAGGGCTGTTAGCTGCGGTTTTTGCCCCGCTAAATTATCCAGAAGCTGCATATCCTGTTCCAGATTGGATAGGGCCGCCCACACCTGTTCATTTCGTTTCGAATTGGAGCTGACCTTAGACCGTGTATTCTTCCGTTGCGGTGTATTGACGGGGGCCTCGTTTCCTTTTTTGTATTGATTATATTGGGAATTGTCAAAGACACCTTTATTGGACCGTCTCTTTGAGCTGGGACTCCCCGGGATCCGTTCCACGACCCTCGCCGCCAGTGACGATAGCATCGAGTCTCCATCGTGCTTTTCGACCGACGTCTCCGTAGATTCCGAAACTCTCGCAGCCAGGAACTGGACTTGACGGAGCGCTGTATCGCCAGCCGTTCCCGACCAAGCCGATAACTCGTTTGGGCTTCGATCTTGATCTAATCGGTCGGTAACATCGTTTTCAGCAATAGATTCCCCATTAGCCGTTAGCGCCGCAGGAGAATATGAAGTTTCGCCATTTAATTTTGACGAAAAGACTGGAGCCGTATTGAACGACAAGGATGATACACATTGAAAGCAATAGTTGAGGGTGCATAGGACAACTGCCGCTACCAACAATCGCGAGCGACCCATTCTCGACGACCGGTATATTATAAATGGTTCAGTTCTGCTCATTGCGCGTGAAATGGAACTCTGTTTGGGGGAGACAGATCTAATTGGCATAATTCGATTCGACCATGGATACAATTTCCGGTAGTGTGTTGTTTGCAACCGAAGTTAAGCTGTTTCAGCCCGTATTCTAGTCGGCTGATAAGTTTGGGTGCCGTACTCCCTTTCTATCAAAAAAAGATATTAACGGTTCTCTGTAATGATAGATCGCAAATAGATGCTTCTTCGATGATTTTGTTGTCCTATCATTCACTTGTTCAAAAGGTCGTCTGATTTAAGTTACTGATGTGTAAGTTAAGTTAAACTTACTGTACAAAACAGTACGATAGATGAAAATCTAGGATTCCAACAAAGATTGCACACCAATCATGATGAAATGCCTTGACGTGTTATCGGTTTTTCCATCTTGATGAAAAAGAACAAAAACTTCACGTTAAACAAAACGATACGTAGTACCATGCTGTCGTCGTGCCGAGCTGAAAAATAGATTATTACCGTTATGATTACTTGTAGATCTTACTGGTAATACTTTATCGAACAAGTATCTCTTTTCGCAGCTGCAGCAGCACCTACTTCTGAGTCTTGTGACGTCATAAAGTAATGATTGAATAATTTTTTATTCCTATCACGAAAATGACGTCATGAACGTTTCTGTGGAATTGTTCACGTACCGGTACGTACTCGTACCCCTACGTCCGAGTAGCAGTTTCGGTTCAATTTAAGACTACCGTATTCGAACAGGTAATGAGTTTAACAAGAATGTTTGGTTTTTGACTTTTAACACACTCACTTGTTCAACCTTATCATAGCCAGCTGTCACCTCTTCAGTTCTTCATTAATACTTAACCAATTGCACTCAGAAGACCAGTGTTCTATTCCTTACATTAAATACTAGTTATTAGTCAGCACATACCAGTACTAGTAGTACTAGTACTACACTATTTTTATAGTGAGTGCCCTTTAGAAGTACTAGTAGTAGTACTACTAGTAGTAAGCTTTTTATTGTACTCCTATACGTCTCTGTTTTGTGGAATGGATTTGTACTTGGTACTAGAATGATTTCTACACAAACTTTTTTCCTTCAAAAATAATGACAGCTTCTGGTACAAGGTGTAAATTACTAAGACTATCATTCCATGCATCTAGCTATGTAGATTTTGTACTGTCAAAAAGCTGTCCCGTCCACTTATTTTGTACCAAAACTGGTACTCATACCTCACCAGTCATAGTACCCATTGCACCTATGGAAGATATGGTTTTAGCAGATTGTTACATACTGTTGTGAGCCAATACCACAAGAAGTACTACTAGTAGTACTAAAATAATGAATAAAAAGTGAGTGGGCGGCAGTAAAACAAGGAATGCATCCTCTACACCAGGAAGAAGATTCCTACCGGGGATCCAATTATGTCTCCTGCCATCAAGCTTGCAAAGGAGATCAAGGAGTTGATTGGTGTCAAGGTTGTCATTGCTGGAGATGGAGACGAGTAGGAATTTGATTTGGAAGAACAAGGATACACTTTTAGGCCTTTCGATTCCTTTGACATGAGCGAAGATTATTGCTTTTAATTCGACATGAGCGAAGAAAAGACTAGCGTCATCTAAGTACGATATTTGAAATATTAGTGTCTATTATTGAACCCCGTCAACGCTGAGATGATATGTAACTAGTAGTACCGTACTCGTTAAAAAAATTACAGAACTTCTGATAATTCTTGGTTTGTAGTGTAATCCATTGGTTCGTGACATGCGTCAGACGTCGTCATCCAGAACAGACGATATTTACGTACTTAATGGCAAAACGGTGTTGCTTTTTGTGCAATCGATAGCAGACTCTTTGAAATGCAACAAAAACACGACTAAAACAAGGAAAAAATATTTATGACCCCAACTCCAGTAGTTTTGTTTCTCGCACTCCTAACAGATTCGGAAAATCTAGTTCCGTGCTGACGATACTGTACTCAGTACAGTATTTTCTCATTATTTCGTCTCGTCAAAGTCCGTTTCGTCGTAAGAGTCCAACACTGCTTTCTTCAGAACAAAAAAAACGGAGCAAGCGGAAAGGAACACAACACCAAGCGCGACACAGAGTCCACATACTTGTATCTCATCAATAAGCTCTCATACCCACTGACACTTTCAGTGACAAAAAAAGAAACAACGTAATCGAAAACTAGATACAAGCTCATACGACCGTCAGCATGTTCTTTTGGACGTCTACCGCGGCACAGGTTGCCTTGAGGATGGAGACGATGAGAAAGGCAGAGGCCGGGCTCGTGGCTTTAGCGCGTCGGTTTGGAGACCGGAATGCCAAGGACGACGTCGGCCAGTCGACGTACAAGATGGAGTTGTTCGATACCGCTATTTCCTCCTCGATCCTTCCCCTTTGGAGCAACGGTGCCGACAATAGTTGCTGTGACGACGACAAAGAGGAACCTTTGTCGATGCACGCCATCCGTGTCACCCATGAAAACAACCAACAGTCGTCCTCGTCGAATTCTAGTCAGCGCTTGCAACGACAAGAAGAATACCCACTCGTCATTGTGCACGGATACATGAACGGTGCACTTTATTTCTATAGAAATCTTGCGGGTCTCGCTAATTATTTCAACACCGTGATTTCGGTCGATCTCCTGGGATGGGGCCTCTCGAGCCGCCCTTCCTTTCGTTTGAAGGACGACTCGGTGGAAAGCGCTGAGGCCTTTTTCGTGGAAAGCCTAGAGGCCTGGCGGTCGAAAAATCAAATCGACAAGATGACTCTGGCGGGCCACTCCATGGGCGGATATCTGAGCGTTGCCTACTGCGAAAAATACCCGGAACGAGTCGATCGGTTGCTGCTCTTGAGCCCCGTTGGTGTTCCAGAGGAGACATCCGAGGAACAAAACGATTTCCGGGAGCGGGTTATGAAAAGCTCGCTCCCCCGGCGGCTCATGTACGGCATGTTCGTGTCCCTCTGGGAGTCGGGGTACACCCCAGCCTCGCTTCTGCGGAGTTTTCCGGAATCGCGCGGTCGGAGGCTCGTGGAGCAATACATCGAGAGGCGTCTGCCCGCAATTGCCGATCCCGACGAACGAGCCGTTCTCTCCGAATATATGTACACCGGAAACATTCTTCCGGGAAGCGGCGAGTATTGCTTGGGTGCGATTCTGAAGCCCGGGGCCATGGCCAAGAAGCCCTTGTTGCGACGCATCCCCAATCTGGGGGTCAAAAACGTCTCGTTTTTTTATGGTATGCATGATTGGATGGATGTGAACGGTGGCCTGGACGTCCAGCGCCTCTGTCTGGAGAATGCGAGGGGTACTTTGTCGAACAAGAATCAAGATCACGAGTCACCAAACGTGGACGTCTATCAGGTGAAGAATGCGGGGCACCTCCTTATGCTGGAAAATGCGCGGGGTTTCAACACAGCGGTGATCATGGCAGCCGGGGGCAAGCCCCCAGAAGGGTCTACAGAAGCGGACCTTCCGGTGGTATTGGACGTGCGGCGAATAAGTCAGGCGACGAAACGAAAAGAGAACACGACTACCAGTAGCAGCAGTCGTGGCACTGATAGCATTCAGGCCGCAGCTCAGTAGACACAATAGAATGATGTTTGGCACTTTGGTAATGTGTACAGTACACCAGCATTATTTGACTACACCAATGAGTTCTAGAAAAATATTGTATTTAGTTGTACATCATGTGCTCGAATACTGTAGTATTGAAGGATGCGAAATCCAGTACTACTATTATCGTTTGTCATTGTAGGCTCATAACCCAATGAAACGTGACTAAACATCAAAATCAAAAGGATACGCGGAAGCGGCGCACATCTTGGATTTTTTCTGATCGAGCCCAAAAACAGAGCGAGACGAATTAACGAGTTGCGTAGGCAGAATTAGATGAAAAATCGAACAACGAAGCCAACACAGGAGAGAACCCCACATCACACGTACCATTTCGCATCAAAAACGTTGGCGCACAAGACTTTATCACGGGAAGAAACAGAAGAATCATGGACGCGCACGGACTGGCAGTGTCGCCATCCTTGCTCGACGTCCACGTTGATACGAGGCGAGACGAAGCGACACAAGAGAGAAGAACGGCTGTGACAATAAATTCAACCGACAATGACAGTGGCGGGGAACAAATTTCGAGAAGACAGCCATCGCGGAGAAAACTCGAGAGATCGATCTCACCAACGCGATTGAAATTCCGTATTGGATCGCAATTTTTGGCAATCGGAACGCTGCTATTGGCGCTGTTCAGCGTGAGTGTTCATCTCGCGCCGCCGACGACGAAGACTCTCAAGGACGTTGGCAGAGATGGGAAAGCAAGAAAAAATCGTCCCCCACCACTGTACGCTCTGGGCTACACGACAAAATTCACGAGGAAAAGGCAAGCTATGGTCAACAATCCTTTTCTTGGGCAACACAGAACAATACCAGCAATGACATCACACCTACAACTGCAATCAAAGTGGAGAAGGCCAAACGCAATGACAAAACCAAAAACAATGCCAGGGGCGGCTTCAGGGTTCGCCTTGGGAATGGGCAAAGACGTTCCTTCTCCTGAGCTTTCGACCGACAACAATGGTAGCAGTAGTTCACTAGGCTATCGATGGAAGCGTTTCGCGGTCTGGCTCCTGACCGGCTCAAAAGAGAGTCTTTCTAAGCCCCAATGGCTATCGTCATCTTCGCCCAATGCTTCGAATGCCGAATCCGAGGGGCAAAAGGCAAAGAACAACCTCCTGTCCAAGATTCTTCCTCCATGGATTTTTTACCTGCGGCCGTCGGTGCAGCTGATGGTGACTCTCTTGCTTTACCTTTTCCACACGGTTGTCCTCACGCAAAACGCCCTGCCGTTTCCAGTTCAGTTGATTCCAAACGATCGTGGCAATTTTCAATCAATCGGTCTAGATTCGTGAGTATACATCAAATGTCTTAGTTGGAATTCTCGTGTTCAGTTGTTTTTGCGAAATTTGATCTTGTGATATTTTGGGGCTTCAAATGTGTATGCATTGCTTTTTTTGATGTCTAACGCAACCTGATAATGAAACCAACATTTCCTCCTGCTGCCTCGAACCAACATCCTCCGACAATCTGTGGAAAACCATTATTTTGAAACACAAATGGCATTTTGACAACCTGCAGGCTGACCGGAATGGGAACCCTGGCCTTTTATCAGTACCTGAGGCGGAAACCTTCCAATTTTTTTGATTTGGAGGTAACCCAGTCCTCGCAATCCACAACCACGGAAACGGAAATCGAACAGAACACACCCGATGGCATTATTAACAACAGCAGTGACTTGACCAACGCCAGTGAAAACATAATGATATACAGAAACGACACTTCTAATGTGACATCGAGAACGGTTACGACAACAACGACGACAACTACAACCACGACTACCGAAATCAAGGCTTCCTATCTACCGGACTTGTTCTCAGCACCCCACCCCAAGAACATGCCCTGGAAGAACATCTGGAAATCCAAGTATTCCAGGGTGTCGTCCCTATCGGCTTTGGTGGTATTGACCAAGGCCTACTTTCTTACGGGCTCCGTCTCTCTCTTCTGGGAAGACACGCTTTATGGAATGGCCACCCACTTGAATTGGATGACGGTTGGGATGCACCGGTCCCTATCGGTCTTGCTGGGGCATCTCTCGTGGATTGCGATGGGTGCGACCGTGCTCAGGATTTTTCTAAGACCACAACCTTTTTTCCAGGAACCAGAATCCCAGTGGTTTTCAAGCTTTTACAAAACCGCACCAAAGGCACCGGGACCAAAAATGACGAAGACTAGGACGGTGTTGGGCAGCAATGGCTACATCTATGGCAACAACAGTACGACTGTCACTCCGGATCAGCTTCTTACATCAGAGAAGGAAAACAACTCTGCCTCTAATCATCCGCAGTGGGTTTGGTGGGCCATCGGTGGCTATTTCGTCAGCTCGTGGCTCTTCAACGTGGTCGATCTGGTCAATTCTTACGTCTTTCCATTGGCCGTTTTGGAACAGGCCGAAGAATCTTCCATCGTCGCCAAGCTCGTCAATCCGGAAGGGCAGGATATCTTAGCTTCTCTGGTGGGATTCATCGCCCCGTGTTTGACGGCCCCCTGGTGGGAAGAGATTTTGTACCGGGGATTCCTGCTGCCGACCCTGGTGCTGTCGGCACCACAGCGGTCCTACTGGTTTGCGACTTTTCTCAGCGGGATTCTATTTTCGATTCACCACCAGAGCGAGCTGGCCTTTTTGCCGCTCTGTGTGCTGGGATGGATCTGGGCGATAGTCTACACAAAGTCAAAGAACCTTTGGACAACGATTGTGATTCATTGCATGTGGAACTCCCGGATCTTTTTGGGCAGCTGGTTTGGATTGTAACTAATCAAACCGACAAAATGCTTGCGGTATTGATTATTTTGACTAGTTAGTTCGTTGGAATATTTGTTAAATGTAGTATTATAAATACGTTTATACTTAACTTAGTAGCGAGAAGTGAGTTGGGTCTGTAAGAGAAATGTTTCAGTTGACACAAGTCAGGTTTGCATTGCCATGTCGTTGATGGGTTGGTTTCCACAAGTTTTCTAGGCGCATATGTTTTGATTTCTGCCATAAAATTTTCTGCTGGGAGTATTGGCAACGTGATTGTTTACTTGGAGAACGCATCGGAAGAAGCACTCTCTTCGTTCTTCTACGAGAAATAATCCACACGAAACATTACAGCGGCATGACTTGATTCAGAAATCCAGGGCGAAAGTGGACAAAAAATCCGCCCCGGTTGCCCTTGGTAACCCGAATATCCTCGTCCAAGTACAACACTTCCAGGAACCCCTTTTTCTTGGGAAGGGGAAAGGGGATTCCCGGGAGTTTCCACCACTTAAAAAATGCATTGATGATTTGGCAGACGATGCGCCGAACGACAATCTTGCCATCGGCAGACGTCGAGAAGGCGTCCGACGTGGGTGTGTAACGAACGGTGGTGGCTACTTTCCCCCATCTCCAGAAGCGTACATCTCCCGAAAATACCATTTTGGCGACGTCAAACACATTTTTCGATCGGCCAGCGGTTTCTTGCTTGCCGACAAGTTTTTGAAAGGACGGACTTTTCGAGCCCTGCTTGGTAAAGACAAGGTCCCATTCTCCGTCAATTGCATCGGCGGTGAATCCTTTGCCCATTCCGTACAGCAAAAGGGCAAGCGCCTCGATTTTCTCGCTGTCGCGGGCGGCGACCGACGGTTGGATGGACCCTGAGGAGGTTCCCTTCAGGCCGTTGACGACGTATTCCACTAGAGCGCCCTTTGGATCCTCAGACAGTTGCTCAAGATTGTGCCAGCCACCGGCCTTGACAATGTTTGCGTCTTTGGGAAATGCACTCCGCAGGTCCTCAAAAGAGGCACGGAGAGCCGTTTGTTTTGTCGTTGCCGTTCTTGGTGCAGTTGCCAGAAATGAATCAACCGATGAAATCGCTGATCCCACGAGGAGGACCAGTAGCAGGATTGAATAAGTCGGAGGCGCATTCATCATGAAATTTCTAGCTTTTGATGGTTGTCAGTTTGAAACGGTAGCGTGCCTTGCTGGCGTTTTTTGCTTGAGATAGTCTTTCGAAATGAAACAGATTGTGTTCTCGACAGTAAATTACTGTACTTTTTTTATCAATATTCAGTCGAAGTAGTTGTGACTTCTTCAGCTTGGAAATAGATTTTCGAGACGTTAGGAGATCCTTGCACGGATACCGGTACATACCGGTATCTTAAAATTACCACGAGAGTTCTCGTACGTACGTACCTACGTAGGTATGGAAAGAGTGCTATTCGTGGTGTACCAGGTCCAAAGTTGTTCCCTACCGTTAAAATTACCTGACATTTTGGTTCTGAACGTGTAACTCCGACCACAACAGTTTTTTGGACGAGAATCATCGCCGTCACCATTGCGCTGGCAGATGCACGGAAAATGAAACATCCAACAGGAAACAAAAAGACGCAGGGATGGAAAATGGATTAGTACGGTGCTACCACCACAACATACCTGGTACCCACTAGTACAGGTATTACTAATTAACTATTGGGGCTTTTACTTCTACTTCTACTTATTTTTTCACAACTACTTGGTTGCAGTCGTGCATGCCAGAGGGATGCGGTGCGCATGAAATCTGAAAAGCCCATTACTGTACAGGCCACAATCGTAATGTAAAAAATGAAAGCCGAAGATTTTCGAGACAATTTTTCTTCTCCTCGATGGACGAGGGCAGAGCTGTACTACGAGTACTCGTACATGTATGTAAAAAACAAAGCTTCAGACGAAGATTCTTTCGATCTACCGGAACGAAGTCGGAAGTCGAATTTGAAGTCAATGACAATCCTGTTGTACACACTCACTATTTTTTCAAACAGGGCGATTGTCTAAATTCCAATTGTTTCAGATACTTGAGCCTCATTCTATGCAATCCCCTAGCCTGGAAAAATTGAGAGTGTTGCATTCGATTCTGAATATATCATACTACAGCATTTCGGAAGGTAAAGCAAAAGGCGAGCGAGGATCAGCACATCATTTTTTTATTCTTACGACTTTCAAGTCGAAATATTTAGCTGTTGCAGCGTCGCGCAGTAGATACTTTTGGTAACAAGAGCTCTTGCAAGTGTCAGATCATATCTCAATATTGCGGTTGTATCAGAACATTACAAGCCCCGTCAGCTGAGGGTCGAACAACAGAAATCCATTTCCGAATCCCTCCCGACATCACGAAGGTAGATCCACCCAACAATACATCGGATTTACTTTCGTCTTCAACAGTGACCATGAGCTTCGACGAAGTATCAGAATCCTCTATAGCACTGGGACCTGCACGCAACGGTTTGTCCCATCGCTCTTCTATCACTTTTCCACAGAAGAAAGAGATACGGAGTCGCGCGCGGAAATCCTTGGTAAAACTCCCTCGGATGGTGGAACGCAACCTTCCCTTTCACCAGAGCCGCAACAGTATGAAGGTCACGCATTCTTCCMACCGACGCCTATGGCCACTGCTGATTCAAGATTGGTTCCACACCATGCTGAGGTTGCCAGCTTGCATTTCCGTGAATTTTCTGCTCTCGTTATGGGTCTTCCTAGTGGGGATATTTGCCGGGGTCTACTGGTTTCTCGACAATCGCTACTACAAAATCTTGGATTGTGGACTCGGACCTACAAAGGGGGAATGTATCTCGTTTACGGGTGCCTTGGCGTTTTCTATGGAAACTTGTACCACTGTTGGTTGTACGTTCGATATTTGGTGCTTCGTTTTTTCTCTTGAACTTTATTTTTTGATGCCCCTTCTCATCGTGCCACCTCTGTCTCTCTCTGGCACATCATTGTGTTTCACTTCCATGGAACAGACGGTTTGCCGGGGGCCTCCACATCTTTCTTTGAAAGAGGTTGCACCGGCATTCAAGGGGTAATATTCTTACAGATGATTTGGAGCATGATGTTCAATGCCTTTCTATTTGCCTTTTTCTACTCACTTCTTTCGAAAAGTGAGTTTCGATCGTCTCAGATCATTTTTACAAATAAATTGTTGATTAACATCGTGGAGGGAGACAAAATGGAGGGAAATCGAGCCTACGTGAGATTGCAGTGTTACGATATTGATAGTGCTCACCCCTTAGTGGAGGCCCACGCCAGAATGTATGTCCTAGACCACAAATTAAAAATGCACCCCCTCCGCTTGATGGATCCTAACGATGACCTCGGAGGAGTTTTGTATCCAAGTGTCCCGGCCGATATCGTCCATCACATTGATTGTCACAGCCCACTGTCGCCGCAACGATTGCCCTTCGTGGAACGGAGCAACGGGCTAGTTCTCCGCACGCTCGACTCTTCCACCGGAAACCGTGATCAAATTATCTGTCCTGTATGCGGGGAAGCCTATGGGACCTATGAACGATTGAAGAAACACGTCGAATACAATGCCATGATCGAGGCCAAAGAGGGTGATTATCCGACAGAAAGATCTCACGTGGGTTTCCAATTTCCCGTCATAAAGCCACTCACACTCGACGATGTTCGCAGTCACATCGAAGAAACATTGAGTGAGATCATAGTCGTGGTGGAAGCTATCGATCCCCAGCTATCGGGGACCTTTCAATCGCTTCAGAGTTACAAATACGAAGATATTGTATTTGGGTCGGAGTTTGCAAAGTGTATGTCGGTAAACAAGGAGCGAACGGAGTTCCTCGTGGACATGCAACAGTTCCATAAAACCTACAAAAACAATCCTTCTATCAAACATAACATTTTCGATTCCATAAAACGGACGAAGAGTGACAAAACCGACCCATCTACTGAGCATAGAGTTTTCGACTCGATGAAACGATTGAAAAGTGATAAATCAATCGAAAACAGAAGATTCTTGTTATCCCACATCTCTGAAGATACCTTCGAGGACGATGTTTCCGAATATCATGAACAAGATATTGACCTGGACGATGATGAGGTGTCCTTAGAAAACGGTGGCACTTATTTTAGTAGGAGTTACAATACTTTTTCGAGTTTACACAACCCATCAGGTAATCTTGCCAGCATTTTCACTGGGCGCTTTCATTCGAGCCAGTCAACCAGAAGGTCCTCTACATCTTCAATTCTGAGTACTAACAGTTCTATCACTGTTTCGGAAGAGGAGATCAATACATCTATGAGCCAAAAACGGCCAACTTACGATAGGCTGCCATCATATTCATCTCATGTGTGATAATCATGGAAACTAAAAAAGATATCTGTACGTTCGAAAAATTGTTCGCTTTAAGTGTGTAGTGATAATCATGAATCTTCCAATACTCAAGCTACACGTCATTGTTTTGATGGTAGTAATGCTTTCGGCCAGGGGATGGAAGATGTGAGACTTTATAGACTTTGGTTTCTGTAGTCCAAAGAATTTTGTAATGCTTATCATTTAATTTGCCTAAAAAATCAATTCCTTTTCCCAGAAGATAACTTGAACTATGTACTCAAATACGTCTGTAGTTTTCGTTTGAATTTCGGATCGATCGCAGTCCCTTTCTTTTGCCCTCGGGCCCATTTTCGAACGAGGCCGCACAGGATTTCCATATCAGCTTCATGGTCATCGTTATTCGAGGACTTGACTTGCGATTGAGATAGCAACTGGTCCAGAGCCATCAAGATATTGAAGTCGCAAATTTCTTGCAAAAAGTCGTTCGCATCCGACGACTCGAGGGCCTTGAGCAACAATTTTTTAGTCTTGTTGGTAAGAGAGCCATTAATCTTTTTTACGGAAACGGAGCTGCCTGTGACGTGTCCACTGTAGCTCCCGACGTGACTCAAGAGAGCAGTATTGACCAAACAAAGGACAGAATCGAGAAGCTTGGTTTCCCGGCCATCGACCAAAACTGCATGGCGCACGGGGACGATAGGTGGATTCGTTATTTCCGACGTACCGTCAGTTTCTGTCAGCTTTTGAAACATGTCCTCGTGAACCATTTGGACACAGACGTCGCTCAGTTGGAAGGCCTCGGTAGCGCCGGAAGTGGCGTCCATCGCCAGCGTGACGAATCGGTCCCCCTGGAGATCCACATCATCTTCTTTGATAGCCCGGCGGTCCTCCATATTTTGAATCTTTAGCTTTGCACCGATAGTTACATCCAAACCAAACAGAGCTTGAGGGCCTTCTGTTGAAAAGGAGTTCTCCTCTTTTAATCGATCGTCTTGATACGAAAAAATCCAACCCACCGGCACCAAACCTAAATGGTTGGCAATGGTTTTCATCCGCTTTTTGCTGCTATCCAATAGAGACGCAGCTAGTTTGGCATCATAAAGCTTATCAGATGAAGGTTTCTGTCCTGGTGGCTCCCATATAGCCTGGATCTTGGCAACCTTGCAGTATTCTGAATCAGCCGTTTGACTCGAAAGCGAGGTCCTCGCCTTTTTGGGCCGTTGGTCGACACGTTCCTTTTGGATTGTCCCCAGCAACAATCCGGCCCGGCAGTTATATGTTGGGCCTTGCTGTTTCTTTTTCGATTTGGATGCTGTGACAACTCCGTTGGAATAAAATCTTTCCGCCGAAACCCTACACATATAAACCCGTAGCAGTGGCCCTTCTTTTTGTGGATCGACGACGTGAAGAGACGATTGGAGTTTGGAAATAGCATCATATGACATGCTCTGTCGAGAGGCACGTCTCTTTTGAGCTTCAATAACCACCGAGTCGTAGTCCTTGGCAAGATCTGGGTAGGGGTTCCATCCTCCAACCTTGGACGCACTAGCTTTGCGACTAGCAAATCTACTGGTTGGTTTGGTAGTACCATTCCCAGATTCTTTCTCTTTGGGAGCCATGACCGTAATCATGCTTCCGTTTCGAACGCCAAGATTCGCTAAGAAAGAATCCCTAATCGCAGTTTCCTTACTCGTACCAATGGTGATGGATGCATCATCGGAGACACCAAATGGTTTCAGAACATCTTCTAGTGTCAACGTATCTTCCTTTCCTTCCTCGACTTGGACTCGTTCCATTGAACCATCAGCCAATCTTACCCGCAACAACATTGAATTCGGGCCTGGTTTTGCGTTCGTGCTGGAAACAATACCACATATTAGTAGCACGAGAAGCAGCAGCCGAGGAGCAAAAAATGCTTGTCGCAAACAATTCCTAAGCTGGGAATCTTGCATCTGCATGATCACTAATGAATCTTCAGTAGATAGGAAGTTTTTAGGTGGCTTGCTGTCTGTTTTGTCGATGAAATTGATATGGAGAAATCAATCCATGCGGGGGACGATGTTGATGATTGATGACAGAGGTTTCAAGTTGGTATTCGCAGGATATCTTATTCAATCCGAAAGATGCCAAAATTTTGTGAAACAAGAAACCGAATGCCGAAAAAACGCAACACACAATACACGTGGAATGAGGTTTTAAAAGAGATAACGAAAATAATTCTGTATCCGTGGCTAGAGCTTCATAGTACGAGTACGACTACGAGTACTACTGACTGTCCGGTATGAGGATGTACGAAGAAGTTAATTCACTCATACTGATGGTATTACATATGAGATATTAGCGTTGTTGAATAATAAAATAGCACCCCAACGTCATTGGCCATTTAGCTTCATGTGAAAATTGTCCATTTTTTCCAGAAGGGAAGTTAAACTAATATTTTTGTATTAATTACTGAGGGATTTCATACTTGTTGTTACGGCTGAGTGTGAAAAGAATCGTTCCAAGAAGAATAAAACACTAGCATCATAGTAGCAGTAGAGAAAACGCGGTTCAGGAATCGTATTCGCAAAGATTTTTTTAAGGTTGATTGTTCAAAGTTCTGTTGTCAGAAATCATCACACATTCATAGCGTCGTCCTCGATTGCACTTTCTGGAATGTATCCTTCCGGCCCTCCATTTAATTGCACTGGAATCACACCATCTTCTTCGGTTAGAGTTTTATTATTGTTTTGCGATTGCGTCTTCCCACCTGAATTCTCCCCGACAGTCCCATTCCCAACTGCTAAGCTTGGATAGTGTCGGTGTGGGTATCCATTTGCTGCCAACATCGCGTGTACCGAGCGTTGATCAAAAGAAGTCGTTGGGGACATCATGGATTCTTCGTAACTGCTGTAGGTACTTGATTCAAAGGGAATTGCCAGCGGATCACCGTTGCTGTCAGTCTCGGAAGAGAAGGGGGAGGGTGATAAATTACGCCTCTGCTTGGAACGCTCATCGTCGATAAATCGAATGCTGTTAGTGCTTTTGTTGATGCCGCTATTCTTGTGATTGTATCGAACCCGATGAAATTTTCTCATATCAACCGCAATCTTGTTATCAGGCGTAACAGACGTACATCGTTCGTGGTCAGCACCAAACACAAGATCCTCGTACTTGTAGGATTGGATCGCCTGAAAGGTTCCTGACAATTGCGGATCGATTCCCTCAACAACCACAACAATTTCGCTCATGGTCTGTTCGATGTGGTCCGTGACTTCTTGAAGCGTTAGCGGACTAGTATCAGGCATTTCGAATCCCAAGTGAGAATCTTTGACTGGATAGTTTTCCTGCCTCTCCACCATTCTCTCATACCGTACGTGAGCTTCCAATCGCTCGTATGTTCCAAAGGCCTCCCCGCAAACCGGACATATCACTTCAGGGCGGTCTCCTGTGATGGAGTCAAAACTGCGCAGAGGAATCAAGCTGCTGGATTTTGAACAGGTCAGTAGCGGCATCAAATCTGCCCGGGTTGGCGCCAACGCACTGTGGTGGTCAATGTGATGAGTAATTTTTTGGGGAATAGAAGGGTAAAGCATTGCTCCCAGGTTGTCATCTGGTTTTGTAAGTCGCAACGGCTTCATCTGTAGCTTGTGATCCAAGAGGTACATTCGGGCGTGGGCCTCTACCACTGGAAACGCCGAGTCCATATCGTAGCACTGGACCGTGGCAAAGACCCTGTGGTTCGAGATATTGATGCAAAGCTTATCTGAAAATACCAGCTGGATGGAACGGGACTCGCTCTTCGAGAGTTGCGAATAGAAAAAGGCAAACAAAAATGCATTGAAAAGCATGCTCCACAACATCTGAAAAAAGATACCCGCCTGGACCCCGTTGCAGTTGGATTCGAAAAAAGCATTGGAGTTTCCAGGTAATCCGTCTGCGTATTTTGCATAGTATTGAATTGTGTAATCCATTCAAAAATCGCAAATGATTGAGTAGTACACCGAAAAGTGAGCGAGTACCTTATACACCATCGTGATCTAGTGGGTGAATCTAGCACTCCAATATCGTGCGTGGAGGGACAGAGTAAACTCCAAAAAAAGTGCGCCTATATAAATGTTCTCTTTCTACCATGGCATTGCGATACGTTACTTACATCCAACAGTGGTACAGGTCTCGAGGGAGAAGGCAAAGGCTGCCGCAAAGGTGATGTGTTCGGGTGGCTCACCCAAACCACAGTCCGAGTTCTCGTAGATCGTATCGATCTTCCTATACACCAAGGCAAAGACCAAAATCGATCCCAACCACGCAGCCAACAACATGAGAATAGAGTATTGCATCGGTATTCTCAACAATACATGGAACCAATCGCTGAGCAGCAACCTGTAAAGGCCAGTGGAAGAATAAGAATATCTGGGGCCTCCGTGGAGGTTGTCGTTGATAACCTGGCACTGGTTATTGGATTGGCAGTAGGGTTTGTTCCGAAGGATCATGCGGGGCAAGAACACCTGTGTACCGCTCTGCGTCACGTTGTTGTTTTGGTGCTCGGACGAACGCTGCTCCTTCTTCCATCGCATTCGTTGATTCCAGCTTTTGGTCCGCCGATGCTGTTTTTTTGGGTTGTTGGCGTTGCTGCCATGGTTTTTTTCGTCGTTGCGATGACTCTGCTGAATACTACCCGGGCGTTGTCGCAACGAAGGGATCTGATCGTGAGGTTGATCCATCCTTCTTGCAGCTGTATCTGTCATTGCTTCATTGATCTCCCTATCTAGGGTACCAATTCTCGGTTGCTGGTGTATATTCGTATATCAATGAAAAGTCATCCATGCACGTGATGTATTTCTCGTTCCCGTCTTTTTCCCCAACGGGATATCGTTGTCTTTCACTCTCACTCGTACACGCACTTTCTCTATTTAAATCCTCACTCCTGTAATCAACGGGTACGACCACTGCACCGAGAGATCTGAGCGCATGCGGATACCAGCGTTAAAGCAATCGATCTATGGCCTGTGTGATGAAGAAATCCAATCCAAGGCAACAATCAAAACCTAAACGGATTCAGCAGTCGAAGAAAATCAAACGAAGAACAATTGCTACCGTAGCATGTGTACCACAGTTGGAGCTACTACAATTATCCTTCTTCAAACTGTTTGGTCTGGTCTTCACCATCGACGACGGTCGGCAGTCAGATCACTTTTGAAGTTCACTCAATCGAATCGATCAAAGAGTTTTTCTCTCGTAATTTTAATCCTGTGTACGGTACTATGGTTTACAGTACGTTAGTACTGTACGAAATACCAAGATGCCAAGAACCCCGTTTCAAGCTCGCAAAATAGGATTCAATCAAATTTCTCGTCTGTCTGTCCGTCTATCAAAAATAAGACATTTTTGAATGACAAGAACCACTCAATGCAGAGCACCCGTCTATCGGGAGGCAGAGAAGGGAAGAATCATTTTGAATATGGTCACAATAGAGAACAAACTTCTTTTATTATGCCTCCGAACATTTTTAAATTCTTCGTTTGAGTAATACTTGGATCTCGCTATTATTATCAATTCCCACACGATAAGAAGGGAAGAATGATTTTGAATATGAACTCGCCAGAAGAATGTCACATGCTTTGTTCGTGAATGCAAGGTCATAGTACAAAATAAACTGTTGAGGGACAGACGTTCGCGCGCGCATCCACCAATGGTCGGATGTACGAAATAAATACAAATGGAGTAAAACTCCACATGCATGATGTGAGGAAATGTCAGAATCCCAAGAGGTTCTGAGTTATCCTCATACTTTTCTAATTTATCTAGTCAATAGGATTATTTGTTCTTTAAGGCTTCGTACATTGCGTATCGAATCAACATAAATTAGAAAAGTATAGCTACTAACAACGCTATCATAGTTAAAAGGACCAGCTGTGATTAGAACACGGGATCCAAGGACCCGTACACAAAAGAAGGCTATCCAAGGAGGCCCCACAAGAGGAAGGACATAACGCCGAACCAATACCACAAGATGGACAAGACAGAGACAAAAGACGGGCAAGAGCCCGCCAGCAACAATGCAACCAAACAAACGAAAGTTGAACTGGATGCTACAGCGAACAAGGACCCGCGATCATGGAATAAGCAGAGGGGTAGCCCAAAGCGAAGCCACGATCTCGGGGACACAGACAAGTTTACAGGACACAACAAGGGAGATTTGGAAGGAATAGTGCTCACAGAGGATGGGAGCCTAAGACAATTCACGGAACTTAAGAAGAGACTACAGACCCTTGGGGGGTCCAAGTATATGCCAAAAGTGGGGTTATCCATTGAGCTACTAAAGAGGCTTACGAGGGTCGATTTCATGGCAACAAGACCAACGGCAAAAGACTGGACAGTGGGAGGAAAGGAAGTTGAAGCAGTCAAGGTTGGACTACTGGAAATGCACACAGAAGAAGTGAAGATGTCTGTCAAGAGATTCGATGCATACACCACAGACATGGAAAAGATGTACGTKGTGACTTATGGACAGATCGACGAAGGGATGCTTGAAAAAGTTAAGAGCAGTGACCAGTGGGATGAGATCCGGAGAGCAAGATGCCCAGTGCAGTTGCTACTGGCGCTACGTGATATATGCTATCAAGGGAACAAGGCCGAAGTATACACACCGACTAACATACTGAGAACGATCAGGAAACTCATATGCACCCGACAGCGCCTACAGGACAACACTGCGTATGTACAGAGTATTGTCCAGCAGTATGAAGTATTGGAAGCAATTGGAGGGGATCTACTGTGCCCAGCAATGATCAAGTATGAGCTGGAGGCGGCATACGAGGGAATAACGTACTCCGATTATGTGGCGCTACCACAAGATAACAAGATTAGGAAGGAGATCACGACGGCGGCAAGACAGCGACTGCTAGCGGCATTAGTCATTGAGGGGAGTGCTGAAGAAACCAGCATACTCAAGGAGACACTCGAGAATGGGTACAGTCTTGAAGATAACAGGTATCCAGCAACAACAACCAAGGCATTAAGGATGCTGAACCACTTCAAGGGAACCCGCAAAGGAGGGATGAAGACTGGCGGAAAACAGAAGGCCAAAACACAGAATTATCACGAGGCAACAGCTTTCGTCACAAGAGCGGCAGTCACACAGGATAACAACACTAACACCGATGAACATGCAGGAGAAAATGGTGGGGAAGATATCCAGCTTGACAGTCACCAGCTACTCATGCGAGCAATTGAGTCCGAGGAGGATTTCGGGGATGGGAGTACTGGATATGAAGCCAACTGTTTCTTTCAACGGGGACATATAACCGAACAAATCGGGGTTGCGGCACAACAGAGTACCGTAGGCGTCGCGGCAAGTGACGCCAGCGTGTTCAAATACAGCGACAACATCCAGCGGTTGTTCGCACAACATGCGAGTGAACGGAGTGCAGGGTACATCAATCCAGACTGGGTACTCCTCGATAGCGAATCTTCATGCAACCTTATAGTGAATCCACAACTCGTCAAAAACATACGTAAAGCACCAAACTCACAGACGATGCACATACACTGCAACTCCGGCGTTGCATGCACCAACCTAATTGCAGACTTGCCCGGGTTTGGACAGGTGTGGTTCTACAACAAGGGGATCGCTAACGTATTGTCCCTAGCACTGGTTTCAGAGCAGTTTCGTGTAACGATGGACACTGACCACGATAATGCTCTCCATGTGCACAGGCCTGGTGGAGGAACAAGACGGTTTGGACACTCAGCATGCAACCTATACTACTGCGATATAAGGAAACATCATGGAATCACACTGACTATAACGTCAGTCGAGGGCTGACAGTCCGAGTTCTCGGATTTGGACTGTAGGAGAGCTATCAAGGCCAGGAAGCTACAGGAAACCATGGGATTCCCAACGTCCAAGGACCTCATCAGTATGATAGAAAACAAGCTTGTAAACAACTGTGGGGTAACTAGACGTGATGTGCAGAATGCGGAGATCATCTATGGCAAGCATGCCAGCATTGTGAAAGGAAAGACAGTACGACGCACTGGAGGACATGTACGTGAGGATGTATCACCAGTACCACCAGACGTGCTGGAAAGATACGGCGACGTGATGATTCACGTGGATATCATGACAGTGAATGGGATACAGTTCTTTCATTCTATATCCAGACACCTTCAGTTTAGAACAACGAGAGCAATCACAAATGCTCGCCAAAGCACACTGCTGGAGTGTATCACGAGTCTCATCGGCCAGTACAGGGCCCGGGGGTTCACAGTGACCCAGGTGAACGGAGACAATCAGTTTCAGTGCCTGCAGGATGATTTATTGAAGTTATCCCCACCAGTCACACTACACTGTGTTGCGGCAGGACAACACGAGCCAACCATCGAGCGCAGCAATCGTACACTGAAGGAGACTGTGCGATGCTATGTAAATCATCTGTCATTCAAAAGACTACCAAAAAGGTGCATTATCGAGTTGATATATACAGCCACGTACTGGCTGAATTGCCGGACGACAGGCGTGCACAGGACCAAATCAACAAGGGAGCTAATGACAGGAGTGTGTTTGGATGCAACACAAGACTGTAAGTTCCAATTTATGGAGCCGGTATTAGCTCATGTCGATGACACGGACAACACCATGAAGCCCCGTGCGGTGGACGCACTATACCTACGACMAACTGGGCTGATCACCGGAGGGTTCTATGCATTTGATATCAGCAGTGGGAAGCGGATACATCGAAAATCAGCCACAGGGACCCCCTTKACCAAAACACTGATCCAGCGAGTGACACGGCTTGGTGAAATCGACAAGATGCCGCGTGGTGTGCATTTCGGTGATGCTGAGGGGAACATGACAATCCTGGACCTCGATGATAGTGCTGGAGGTATCAATGATGATGACGATGATGCATCTGACGGATCATATCGACATGACAATGATGAACACTCAATAGAGACCGCACTGAGTGAGCATGTTGATGAAAATGAAGTGGAGGAGGCTGAGGCCCAGCAACTGGTGGTTGATAATACAACAGTGGATATTGACGTGGAGGGTACTGACAACAGAGTGGAAGAGGACACCAATCGCGGAACGGACGGTGGCTCTGAAGCCGGTCAGGACAGGGAGGAAACACTGCCCGATGGGGAACCAGAGGAAGAAGGAGAGAATACTGTTGAGGTGGTTGAGCCGGTAAGCTCCAGACTACGACAAAGGATCACCCGATCACACAACAAGTACAGTGAAGCCGATGGTTTCCAAGCCAGTGTGCACAGCAGGTCTTTCTTCACTGCAGGCTACACTCGAGCGGTGGACCAACTATGCAAAAGGGAATCAACCGTACTGCTCGTGGCAAACGCTATCGCAAACTACAACAATCTGGATGCAACGCAAGCAACCAAACAGTATGGGATCAAAGAAGGGATCCGGCGGTTCGGAAAGGAAGGAGTGGAAGCGGTGCTGAAGGAGCTGAAGCAGCTGCACGACCGTAACGTCATATCAGCTCTGGACCCTGGCAAGCTGACACCCGAAATAAAAGAGCAAGCCCTACCGTACCTGATGTTCCTGAAGAGGAAAC